AAGTTAGATTTTGATCAATGAATATTCCTAAAAACTTATGATAGTCTGTTTCACAACCTCATTATCAACTTCCACTGTCATGATTTGTTCAGGATAATTTTGATGAAGCTTAAAGTTAACAGTTTTGTCAACATTTAATTTTAACTCTCTGAAATTTATTTATAGAAAGCTTTTACTGTTTGGTCACTACTACTAAAGAAATTTTCTCTTTAGTTTCAAATCAGATTTTCTAGGTTAATTTTTGTTATTTAAGGTTGCTTTAACATTGAAGTTATTAGCAACCATAGGTTACATTTTTGTTTCTTTTATTGCCTAGAATTTTTATATAAATGATGGTGGTTTTTCCTAGTGTTTCAGGAAAGGTCAATCAAAACACCTCAGAGGCAATTTATGTGTTTCCATTTAATACAAGTCTAAAATGATGGTGAATGATAACCTTTACATGCTCAGCTGGAGCAGTCTGCTAACAAAATGAAGGAATACCAGTCTCCATAACCTTCTGTAATTTTTGTAATGATGAAAATAAGATAGATTTGCCTTGAAGGACTCCGCTTGCTCTCACCCACCTTTTAAAGATTAAGTAAAAATTAAATCTAATTCTCACAAGTAAATCATATGTGACCAGTCTGCGTAATCTCGAGATGCCTCAAGATCTGTATTTTCATCATTGTGCACTGCATATGAATACTGTAACCACTTAAAAATTCAAATTATTGGTATAAATTATTGGTAAAAATATGGGTAGAATTAAAAATAAAGATGGTACCAACAATCCATTTTGCTCAACCGATTCTGAATATGAAAGACATTGTCAAACATAAGTGAATGTCCACAGATTTAAGTTACAGGCCAAGAAAAAGAAGTAGAAGTCATGAGTATCACAGATGTAATCAGTACAAAAACTGAAGTGATTAGAAACTTTTCTATGGAAGCAATAAAATACATCAATGACTAAAAACAAAATTGTTTTATTTTCAGTCCTTTAACACATAGGTGTTTCATAACTTCAGACTGCTTCAATATAAAACACAACACAACAAATTACACCTGAGTCCTTTGGATAAAGTGAACAACTTACATAACTATGACAGGAAACACATTGAGACATTGAGCATTTATAATTTGAACATGATCTTATTCTAAAATACTTTTAATTATCACTGAAATATTTCCTTTGGAAACACCCCTGGGCACAAGACAGTGCAAGTTACAACTGTACTTAAAATTCCTAACACTAAACAGAAAAAGAAGATTCTTTTAATAACAAGGTCTTGAAAAATAATATACACAGTATAAATAACACTTCATATATTTGGTTCAAACAGTGTGGGAAAGTTGGCTAAAATTCAGCAAAGCAAGGTCATTAACCCTCTTAAATTGTTCATCTAATGAAATACATGAATATCAAAATTGTAAAGGTCACCTTAAAAATAATTACAAAAGTTAAAATACTAATTTATGAACACAGAAATAGAGATCTCAAGTCTTATTTCAACTCCACATTATTAAAATTAAGGTAGGCACTGATTTCATGGGTTGAGATTTATGACAATTATGGTGGTCGGACCCAGAGTTCATTCACTACAGCAATTTTACTAGAAATCCTTTTACAACCTTCACTATGGTAATCAACTTGATCCAATATTGTCTTGATAGCTTGTTCAGTAACTGGAATCCAGTGTCGACTAAGAGCCTCTTTTATGCACAATTCCACTTCTTTTTTCTCTAACGTTTTAAAATCAATCATCACGCAATCATCAATACCTCTCTCTACTAATTGTTTCTGTACTGCACTGGACATTTCCAACACTTCATTTTCACTAACTTTTCCAGAGAGTTGCTTATGAAATTTAAAAATGAGTAAAGCAATTACTTTATTTGATGATGCAAGCCTCTGTAGATATGATACTATGTACGCAACATCTTTTATATCTTCAATTCTTAAGTCATCCATTATAACAAAATGATCACCACAAAACGGATAACTCTGCAGAGACCGTTCTGACAATTTTTCAAAGTCCAGCGGCATTATAAACTGGTGAATATTGTGTTTCCACGGGAATATTTCTTCTAAAAGTGTTGCTGTGTAAGTCTTTCCTACACCAGTTGGACCATTAAGAACAATTACATGCAAACCATTTTGATCAGAGGAATTGAAATTCTTAAAATTTTGTATGATTCTTTGGACTGCTTTCTCTTGACCATATATACGTGAACTCAATAAGTTTTCTATACTTTTGACATCTAATGTAGCTTCGCACACTTTTTGGTAAGAAGCATACTGTGTTCCAAAGGTGGCAAACACGGCAAGCAGCAAAGGAACTATAACGAATAGTAATTGTGTCACTGTTCTAGGATGACCTGCATTTTCATCATCAACGGATGCATTCTGTTTGAACTCTGGCTTAGAATTTTTAAGTTCATTATTTATGACAGGAGTATATTTGAACAATTTCCTGCTTTGAAAATCCTCATTTGAATCTGATGGTTCATGTGTCCTTTTACGATGCAAATCAACTTTCTTGAAATGTTCTGGCTCTTCATTCTGTCTTTTTGGTTGCTCAGTAGGATTTATAAGCTGGCTTAAGTCAAAATGTTTATCTAACCAATTCTTCCCTGGTAACAAATCTGCACTATTTTTTGTCCCAGCAAGATCTATATGAAACTCACTCACAAATTTCTGTGAATATCTTAATGATGAAGTGCCTGGAATAACACCTAACTCATTATAGCTATATTGCCTGAAAATAGCATTGCCCAATGGACCTGAAAACTCTTTCTGTGCGGTTTGTATTTCCTTCCGTGGAGATAAAGCTGACAATGACATTGATCTGTGCAGTTTGTGCCGTGGTGAATCATCAAGTGACAAAGAATTAAAAGAATCCATCCAAATGTATACTTGAGTTCAATAAATTGTAGATGCATCTGGAAACAAACAACAATCAAATATTAATTCATATTTATAATAGAAGAAACATATTAGAAGTGCTATAAAGATTTTAATGCCCACTTCAGATACTCCCAAACAAAACATTCTAAAACAATAACCTTCTTACAAAGAATCTGTTCTTCCAATATGTTTAAAAAACAAGAAGTCATCAATAATATGTTGTTCAAATTATATTATATAATATATATTTTATGTCTACACCTAATACTAAACTTCGAAGATTTTAATTTAAGTTTCTGCATCTAGTGTTTCTCCTAATTAGTTTAGTCTTGCGCAATTTCTAAGGAAAAAACGCAACATTCGTTTTAATTTATAATTTCACTAATAAAGAGATAATTCTTGGTCGCGAAATGGGTAAAAGTTTCAATTCATAGCACTGAACTGTTAAACTAACTTCTATTCCTAAACTACAAATAACGATACTGTACAAGTAAATATTATCATCCTCACCTATTGGCACAACATAAGTATTACAACAGCTCTCTTTGTCTCTTGCGAACACAGTAGCTACTAATGAAGAAATCGAACACAATGTATACGTAAATTTATTTGACACTACAGCAGCATTGAATTTGAAACGTTCAAAACTTTTAATTCAAAAGATTTCGACCATCGACGCTTCTCGTTTAGCTTTTGTTCTCAAACGTCACGAAATTCAATAGTTCTCTGCGGATGTGCTAGAGTTCGCTTTCTATCGTTCGGGCAGCGATTCTCACTTGCGGTGGCTTCTTCCGGTTCTTTTCGTTAGGGAACGTTGTTAAAGTAGTTAGGTATGTATATTGTTGTCTTATTTTTGAAGTGATTTGGTTCATTCCGTATCTAAGTTTAATTTGAATTAAAGAATTAATTTACCTAGTGTAAGAATTTGGTACCGTCCGGCTCTCTATAATGGCGCATCGAGACGGCGAGGACACGTGGGGTATATGAAGCTCCTAGTTTTACCGTGTTTCACGTATGGATGTTGAGTGGGAATTATTTCATGGATATTTTTGATGCCTCATAAGATTATCATTTCATTTGCAAGATGATGAATATAATGCATGAAAGTTTCGCGTGCAGTTCGTGTATTTAATTGTCTTCTGTAATGTTCTGTCTAGCAGTTCGCCAGTTATTTTGCATGCTTTCATAAAATAGCAACATTTCACTCTTTCAGCAATTTCAAAAGTTATTTTAAGTGTTCTCCGCAAACATCAACAACTGAGTTCGTGTTTACATGTAATCCAATAGCTGGGAGGGAAGGAAGTACTAGGAAAACCCAGATTTTATTGTGCATGTAATGTAACTTCTTATGTGGATTACTAATTTCTCCTCAGATATGGCTGCAGAACCAGAGACGTTTGATGATGTTGAAGGGCAGCCTATGGAGGCTGACTCTACCATCGCACCTGCCCAACCAGCAGAACTTCCCGAAATTAAGCTGTTCAATCGTTGGAGTTGTGATGATGTACAGGTGTCGGATATGTCCCTTCAGGTATTCTTTCAAATTTTTCAGACCTCAGAATGTAGTGTGGATGTAATGTTTGATCTTAAGAAGTTATAAGTGTGGTCTCTCTATGTGAGGCATTCCAAATTCCTTGATTTGTTCACTAAGCAAAGATTGTTTGCTTTTTTTAAATTTTCTATTGTATTACCATCTGTTTTATTATGGGTTTCTGAAAAAATCATGTAGGTTTGAAGGCTGTTTTTTCATTAAATATTTTTTAGAGAAGTATTTTGAGAAAAGAGGATTATAGTACGCTTGGGCTGCATTAAGAGATGCTGATGACTTATTTGTAATGTTTACTCGTTCATTGGGACGTAAATAAAAGAAAATAAATGCTTATATTTTAGAGAATAAAATTTGAGTACTAGCTTTTACTTATAATTCTATTTATTTACAGTGAACGAGTTAATACTTATAATGTGAATAAACCTGAGCCTTTAGTTCAAGTTTTAAGAAAATACCGCTTTTCACTTTACAGAAGTACATTAAGCTGGGTGGTGACTGCACAAACAAATTGTACGATCATGCTTGAATGGAAGAATACAAAAATTTTATAATATTAATTGCAGTTGCATTCTTGAACATACAAGTTCTGAAAACTACTGCATTCTTGATATTACACCTTAAATGGATTATCGGGAATTTTTATTTTTTAAGGGCATGGAGTGGTAATCAAAATAATTACACACAGTGGATACAAGTAAAAGTTATCTGCAATGCATGTTGATTCTGATTATAATATTGGGCATTGTAAAAAGGTGTAACATTGTAATTAATTTAGTATTAAGGCTGGAGAGGAAACTCTTTCTAGGATTCCTAATGCAAGCAGGTTTGGATAAAAACCAAACCTAAGTAAGTAGTTTCCTTTCCAGCTTTCAAAGTTGCAGCTTGTTTAATGGTGTTTTGTGATTTTCCAAGAAATCTACAAAGTGCTTTTGCGAAAAGTGTATCTTTTTTCCCAGAAGTTTCAATGGAGCAATTCAATTTTTCCATTCATGAAATCTGATGTGAAACTGCACACAACAAACCATATGTCATGAGAAAAGTTTGTACAAATTATCATTATTAAAGTGTGTTTCTATACACATTAACTGCTGATGACGTAACTGAAGGTTCTGTGGTCATTGTCTTTCAGCCATTTGACTTTTTCTATTCATTCATTTGCAGTTGGCTAACTTGTAAATCACTTCGATGCTTGCTTTCTCGTTTGATGAAAATGTAGTTCACCACAAGAAGTAATGGAGATTAGGAAGTTCAGAGCTTCTGTGCTGTGTGTGTCTATAATATAAGCGAACATCACATGTAATTCAAAGAATGTGTGTGTGTGTGTATATATATATATACACACACACACACACACACACATTCTTTGAATTACATGTGATGTTCGCTTCTTTAGCAAATACTCATTTTGGCTCATTCTTAGGTGGATTCTTCTATTATAATTTCTTTTACCACTTCAAACTTAAAGAAAAAAACTATGATTTTATTCACACCATTCCTCACACCATCAAACCAGCAAGAAACTGCCTGAAAATTACATAACTCTCATTAAAAATGCCAGTACACTTCAATCACAATTGAATGTCAGAATTTCTACCCATATCATACCCTGTATTGTACAATTGTACTTCATTTCTGTAATTTCTCAGAAATAAATTATGACCCTGGGAGAAAGAGTGTTTAGTAATTTATAAATAAAAGATTTTTCTCCTTAGAAGTATTGCAGTGCGAGGGTAACCAAATGACCAATTTTAAACAAACTAGAAATTTTCTCCAAGAACGTGGAAAATGTTTCTAGATTATCTGTGTAAATTGAGGGAGGGTAACTGGCCTGGTGATAATTACATTCTTTGTGACTTTTATCTTAGGCAAGGAAGGAAGTTGGGTTTGGAATAATATTTACCTTGTTTGATTTAAGGACTATGTCGCTGTAAAGGAGAAGAATGCGAAGTATTTGCCTCACTCTGCGGGTAGATATGCAGCAAAACGTTTCCGCAAAGCCCAATGCCCAATTGTGGAACGTCTTACAAATTCATTGATGATGCATGGGCGTAATAACGGCAAAAAGTTGATGGCTGTGCGAATTGTGAAGCACTCATTTGAAATCATCCACCTTCTTACAGGAGAAGTATGTTCTTAATGGTAATATTTTCGTGTTATAACTTAAGTAACTCGCTCTGGAAACCTTAATGGCAAATTATTTGTTGTAGAATCCTCTCCAAGTGTTGGTAAATGCCATCATCAACTCTGGACCCCGAGAAGATTCTACCCGTATTGGACGTGCGGGTACAGTTCGTCGGCAGGCTGTTGATGTGTCACCGCTGCGGCGTGTAAACCAGGTAAGAATACATTGGTGCCCAAACATCAAACCTAAACCGCGAATGTTAAAATCTTTAAGCAGTGACACCGAAACTGAAAACCTTAATTTAATATTATTGTGCTGGAACCTGAATCGAAAAAAAAAAATTAGTTTTCAATAGATCTGATTAAATTTGTTTAACTTCTCATGCTGGGTTTAGGTGACCGAGTGAAAACGACATATATTGGGTGTTTTCAAGAATCTTCCCTGTTGTATATTCATATCAGTAATACATTATAAATATAGAATTGTAAAGGTGGTCTTTTTTTTCCCAACAGATACCAGTTTTCCTTAGTGTAATGAAAGATACTCCTACACCTCAGCAAATTAAAGCAGAAACATTGTTTGTGATATTTCTCATAGAGCGTACTAAAAGTACATTTGAAATTTCTGTAAAATTTAGTCACATTTTCACCAGTGTATTTCTGGGAAAATTTCCCATATTTAAATGGTACAGTCGACTCAAGTTATTGTGAACTTCTGGGGACTAATGTTTTTGGTTCACTTTATCCCATGTCAAAATTAAATAGAAATTCTTTACAATGCTTAATATTATTGATATACATCTTTATTTTTACCTTAAAAATCAATTATTTTTAATAGTTTACTTTGTACTTTTTGTTAGTAATTTCTCTATCCTTCTGAGTTAATGCTCTCTACATACTTGATTCTGCATTGTTCACTGTCTCTAAGTAGCCTTGGCAAACTTCAATCCCTCAGTTCACCTGACCACTCTCAAGGCCCTTTTACTTGTCTAATTACATACAAGATCCTTTCCTTAACAGCATGATGCAAACGGATAATTAAACTGATTATACAATCCGGGTCTGCTACCCCCACCTCACCTCATATATTTATAATGAAAGTGAAACAAGACCAATGACTTAGGTTCACTGTTACCGGAGTTGACTGTTATTGAAACAAAATAGTCACACGGTTTCAAAATTTCAATTTATTTCACATTGCATAATTCACATATGTGAAATACAAAACATCACATCCGTGCATATTTCTGAAGGCAAAGCCCTGTGCACGAGATATGAATTAACACATTTCAAATTTTAACGTAAAGATAGTACCAAGTTTTAAATACAAAATTTACAAATATGAATGTGAAATATTAATGTGGTTCATTCAACATCCTTTATCTCAATATCTGGTTTCATGGCATTATCTCCAAATGTTTCGAACTGAGATATTTTTAACCATATGGTAAGGCTTGACCTCGAAATCGCAATCTGTCAGATTTTCTGTATCAGATCTTCAAAAACAATTTGAATATCAAATTTTTGGCCTGGTGTTTTTTCTGTGTTTTCTAATATTTTTTTCAAACCCTCTGCTGTCAAAAGCCTGGTATAAATTGTCATTGAATTAGTCTAGAATTGTATGGGAATGTCTTTATTGTGCAAATTACTTTTCTGAAACTTGTTCATATATATATATATATATACTGCTGACCCGGCGAACTTTTTCGCCTAATGGCAATAAATAACCGCAGTTTTTTATTGGAAAAAAATACAAAAAAATTAAAACTACATTAATCATTCATAATTATCTGTATTTTAGTACAAGGTTGCTCTTTCATTTAAGTACCTTGTGATAAACGGACGTTATTTGTTTTATTATCAAGGCGCAAAAACAAAACAACGCAGATGTGTCTTCCGACCTTGAATCATCCACGTATAATGACTCATGGGCGGGAAAAACATGAATGTCTGATTGTAACCACACAACTTTTAAGGATTGGCTTTGATTTGTTGATGTCATGCAAATGAAGACACGTATCGAAATTGAAATTTTTAAATTCAAAAATGACATATTCGGATTGGATCACGGTATCCTCGGGCAATTGAGAACTTCCTCATCTTTGAATTTTCCTATCATTATCGGTAGCGTAAATTACACTTGTTCATCTCACTTTGTAACCACCAACACGCTACCGTGCACAGTTTGTTGGTTTATGGTTTCAAAGCATTGATTACTACGGAGCCACTTTGGCGTAAATTGTGCGTGGTAACAGGCACGTCCAAAGTGATTAAAAATCAATTGGATATTGTGGCTTCATCTCATTTTGACGCAGTCAATAGATTGGAAATTGAATGATTGTTCATGATCTTATTTTAATATGTAGTTTACGTCATACATCTTTATTCTTAGCCGCTAAAATTGCTTCGCTCACTCAATCATTCATAATTTTTGTAGTTAGAAATAATTTCTAGGAAAATACTTGTTTCGTAAGTTCGTTTTGATGAGAACAAAATTACCAGAAATTATTTGGACAATATTAAATCCGCGATTCATCGACAGCGTACTTGACATTACTAAGTTCAGCAATTGCTCCGGAAATCTTCAGCAGATGTATATTAAAGCAAGAACTCTCAGTTGTTGTTCAGTTGCATTTCTTCACATAGCGCCATAGTTTCCACGATTTTGAGGCAGAGCGTTTATTTCTCGGCAGCCTATGAATCTGTGAATACTGCGTATTTGCGGAAATTCGCAGACGTTAAAAATCATGCTCCTCCAAATTAATTCTCGATCATTGCGAAATTTTTAATGTCGGTTAGTGCGTGTCTAATGCACATTATGCTATCGTTTTTTTATATATTATTTATTTTTAATATTTTTACTTACAAATATCAAATTGTCTATCCATAAGTCATTACTATGTATTATACGTCATCTTAATAGCTGTCTTTGCGTTTTGTATCCAAGTCTGATTCTTTTTGTTATACCACGTTTACTAATAGTCTGCGTTATGTCATCAATCGGAATCTGGTCAATGGGATAAAAAGTATCTGCATGTCTTCTCCTGGCTCTAAATACCTCCTGCCAAGCTTTTCAGCTAAATCTTCAGCCGTTCTTGAGTTCAATGGAGTAACTAACACACTTCTTTATATATATAGATTAGAGATATTATGTTAATGTTGAGTATATATGTGGTGTATAAATTCGGATGGATGGATGTTGGTAGATTTAATTGTATGCTGTCATTTTTTTAGGCTATCTGGTTGCTCTGCACTGGAGCCAGAGAGGCTGCATTCCGAAACATTAAGAGCATTGCTGAGTGTGTGGCTGATGAATTGATCAATGCTGCCAAGGTAATTTTTTTTATTTAGTTTCATGTCAAAAGGGTTCAAGAATCTTTAAAAGGCTAAACATATGTCTTTTTCAACTAAACAATTCCTAATGTTTAATTAAAATATTGTGATCTTTTGCAGGGTTCTTCAAACTCTTATGCTATTAAGAAGAAGGATGAACTTGAGAGAGTTGCTAAGTCTAATCGTTAAGGCGAGTGTAATGTACTTCACTCATGTAATAAATTTTCCATACTGAATTTGTTAAAGTTTTGTTTCTTTACCTTCCTCACACTGACTCCTATTGCAGAACAGTGAAATGCCCCTATTTATGAGCTGAACGTGGAAAAAATGGGATTGAAGAAAATATTGCACCCTAAAGATTTTGGGGTGTAGATTTTCTTAAATAATGTTTAAAACGTTACTTAAATATCGTATTTTTACTGATAATTTCATACGAAATTTAGGTGATTAAAATTATTGGAATGACTGAAATGGTGCTTCATTTTTTCAACTGGAAGCTTTGTAGATGGTTTTCATTTAATATTGTGTAATTATTGATTGGTTACATGTTTAGGTTCGAACGTTTTTAATAGTGTTGGATATCACTTCAATTTCGTAAATAAAACAATGTAATTAGTTAATAGTTAGATTTATTGCATGAGCATCTTTTTTGAAAACTAGCAATGTTAGGAGTGAGTTTCAAATTTGTATGAATGCAATAAAACAACATAAAGGAGTTTGTATACTCTATTGTTTGTTTAACAGCATAATAAAATTATAAGAGATTTTATTTTGGGCATTTGACGTTTGTGTGACAAAATTGGTCTGCTGTTCCATTTACCGCTACCTCCCCACGGTTCCCTCAGAGTTTGGTTGCATGTGTGATGATGCAATCATTTGTGCTGTAAATTGCTTGTCATTTGTGTCCTAGAGATAAGGCCTTGAAAAGTTCTAAAGGAGTCCTTGACATAAATATTTAGTTCTTTTTGTGGGATACTTAAATTTTTTTTTCTTCAATCTTGGAAATGGTTATTGATGTGATTTACATTACTACTATCACAGTAGTAATCATCATATTCAACCATTTTGGAAACTTCTAAATTTATTTCACAATCCAAAAGAACATTTTCAGTGGGAAGTAACAAAAACTAGCACTTAAACCATTCAGCCAATTTTTTCTTAAACTGATATTCCGAGGCCCTTGGAGTTTGAAAAGGATAATTTGATTTTTGGGGTACTTTACACAAAGCTTTTACATTATCAAAATGTTCTAAAAATATTGCTCCAAATTTTTGAGTTATACTTTGCCCTTGGATAACAAAGATGCTTGAGACAACAGTGTAGGTCTCATGTTTTTTCACCATCTTCCTACGACTACAATATTGAAGATAAACGCAATCCATTTGAATGGAAGCTGGACCTCCTTGGTGAAAGGCGAGTGAATTCGCTCTGAGCCTCGAGACACCTTTTGTTTCCCCGTGTAACACGTACGAAGCAACGAGTTTCGCTAATCCCTTAGGTCCCTATAAATTACTCATTGTACGCGCATCTGGTACCCGAACAACGACTTTTGAAGAAAGAAAGGAAAAAAGTAACGTATTTAGACCAATAGCGCACTTTTAAAAGGTCAATCCATGGTAGAACGCTAGAACTTTCTCGAACATCCGAATTTAGCACATAGGAGTACAGTACAGCAATCACGTGACGAGACCGCGCATGAAAGAGGTGATTTTCACGGAGGCGATGTATTGTGACCGGTCGAAGACTCCAAGGGTTTCGGAATATGAAACCTTTGAAAAACTTCCGGGTATAACCTGCATAACAAAACCACAGCCAACAAAAACTGTCATTCTATCGTCCGAAGCTTCTGCCGAACAGTTAAGACAGTATTACGCGATACTTGTCAAAACAATGCGAGAAAGTGGAGTTTGATGGCCTTTCTCTGCCTAAGCTAGGGCATCTGCACTTGCAATAACCACTTCGAACCATAAACGGGCCCTTGCTGACGATCCTGATCATCCAAATGAGTTTAGCGGTTGTAGCCGATTAATTGGGGGCTCGAGGCAGCTACTTCGACGGACACCGGGCGTGGCGTCGTAGCCGGCGACACAACGCCGCGCTGCCATCTGACGCTCCTGCGCCAAGACCCGTCAGCGTGCAATTCTCGCAGCATCGTAGTAATAATAATATTGGACATACATCGTAGTAATATAATATTGGACCAGTCATAACTTACCGTGTTTGTTATTAGACTGTTAAACTCACCGGACCGAAGACTCCTGTCATAGATCACATGGCATGTACAGTTCATTTGTAATTTTTATATTATTACTAAATTAATCAATTTGAATAAATGTTTCAATGCATGCCTTCTAGAATTCAATGGGAATGTATTTATTCAAATAATCATTCACCATGTCGCGGCAGGAAATATTATTCTTTCGTGAAGGACATGATGACGGATAAGAGCCGTGTATGTGGCTAATTTGCTCTTGAATATAGATTTTATTAAATAGGAGTGAATATTTTGTTAGCAATTCTTGCCATAAACGCTCATTTCCTTCTGTATTAATTAAACTTGTATATGGCTTAGGGTTGGCATCGCAGAATTAAGAAAACGTGTAGAGAATACACTTCTTCCCGTACCATGTCACACAGTTTTTGTTGTCAAATAAATATTAAAAAGTAACATAAATCTTCACCCGTCACTATGAGTTGCTTGAGAAGAAAATTAACGTGTTATGTTTCATTAAGTAACATGAGTAAAACCTTGCATCATCACCGACTCAGTTTCTCACTCTTCAGGTTAATAAACACCGGCACCGAGTAGTTCAGGTTCGTATTGCATTTGGCGCACAAAACCTGCGCCCAAAGACTGAACTTCCCAACGCGAAGGGAAACAATGCTCGCACTGTTGTAGTGATAGCGTTCGGAAGTGGTCCAACAATTGGAGATGCTTACATTGTGAGAAACAGAAATGGACTGGAGAAGGCGGTATCTATCAGCGGTATGCTGACGCCTTATTTTGAATGCTAACTCAACCACTTACTTGCAGTAGCTTCTCGAAGGACCAGTGTGCTTTGAGGGTGAACGTACACACTGCTCTCTGAAATTAACTTTGTTTTTATTTCTTAGCGCCCGAGGCCTTGTCTTCACGATGGAGTATCCCACGGTAGATATCCGACCGAAAAAACGCGAAATACCGTGAGATATTCCACCGTGGAGACAAGGCCTCGTACGCCGAGAAATAAAAAACCAAGTATAAATATATACTATTCCAAGGATATTGCTATCATACGGGATTCAAAGACATTGCTTAAAATATTAGATAAAATTAAACCGAATGGTTGTTACATAGAATTAATCAGATAAGCAAACTTTGTAATTGATGACGAGTGACTTAAGAAAACACCTTGAAGGTTATGGAATACAAAATTATTGAAAATTAATGACAGTTAAATTAGCGTAGACATAGAAAAGATACGTCATGACACATTGAGTGCAATGGATAGGGTTGAATCAGAAATAAAATAATATATAATATGTGATGAGTACGCCAGGCTGGATCAAGTATTGTACTTCAGCTTCTGGGTCAATGACACCCATCTCGAGCAAAAAAATATTCTCTCTTGACGTACTGACTCAGTCCTCTTCATTAATTTTTTAGATTTAAAATCTGCACGTTGCAAATTATTACCCTTTACCACTCACAGTATTTCGTTAAACTGGAGTAGTTTTACTTACGCACAAGTCTCTTGAATCATCTGGTGCGGAGGGCGCAGAGCTTAGACCATTGAATGACGGCTATTGTGTTCCGCTCCAGAACTCGGGGTCGGTGAAGTCGGTCGGCACCGCAGCGGCTGGCGGCCAAGACCCGGGCAGACGTCTGTTTGGTTCTCGTACTGGAACGCGGTAGATGCGGGGGCGTCGTGATGCAAGACTCGCCGCGTTCTCGCCTCCGGTCGACGGCGACAGAACTCACGCGATGATCTCGAATTTTTGCTCCGACTGCACGTCGTTAATTGAATTATTCACCGACGACTTTCGGTCCTGTGAGAACTCTTGTCATTCGTACGTTGCGTAACTGGTGGAACGCCGTACTTAATATAATAAGTTTGCAGCGTCATATGTCTACTGTCACATCACGTCTATCTATATGTCTATCACGTCCAAGTCGAGTCTTACGAGTCAATTGACTGTTCGAAGTGGAAAAACATTCACAGCTTAGGGTCTCTCAGCCGAGTTCCCAAAGTCAAGTGTCTAAACCGTATCTCCAACGCGGGCAAGCACCTCGAAGCTTCTTTTCACTCCAGAGTGTGGTTGGTCGAAAGCATCTTTCTTTATCTGGCTGCTCTCAGAATCTCGAACTCAAAGAGGTTAACGTTCGCTCTTTGTGTGGTTATTTGTTGACGGGTGTTATTGCTGTACTGAAATGCGTGACGGGCTGTCACGCATTTCAGTACCATTATACCATCAATTTATTGAAGGAACTAGAATATGCCTGTCTAACAAAAATAACACAAACTCTTCCCCTACAATTCAGCACTCCTGAGAGTAGCGACATTCGCAAAACTTGCCCGATCGGTGAATGTAAAGGCAAGTACAATTCTATGAACATATTCATGCATTGCAACTAATTGAATATGGAGCGTGTGGTGGAAACACTATTTATACATGTGTTTTGAAGCTTCTAGAGATTTTGATTAGTTAAAGTTTACTAAGTATCAAGAACTTCGAAAGATAAACGTGAAGTTAGTTCTAGTATTAATTTAATATATTTGTATCACGTTATGCAGTAAAACCTATCTAAAGAGAAACTCTGCCATCCCAGACAAAAATCTCAAATCAGAACGATTTTATACGAGAAAATGACCTCTATAAACCAAAAACCTGTCTAAGGCAGAAACGGAATGGTTTTAGAGAACGTAAAGTGATTTTTACCCGGCTAAGAACAAGGTCGTGTGTCAATGTCTTTGAGCGAACGTGCAATACACTTTCGCTTCAGAAGAAAATATGGAATAAATCCTTGTTCTTGTTTTCTCTGTGTTTCGATGTTAACTTATTATTTTCTGCATTTTTTAAAATATAAATTATGCTTTATTATGTTTCACCGAAAAATTATATCGAAAATACTGTTCTTAAGTTATATGGTGAATTTTTGGACACCCTCTACAAAACGGAAACCTGCCAAACCGAAAATTTATTGAAGGAACAGTCAGGTTTTGTCTTAGACAGGTTTTACTGTATATACATTTTATCTTTCTGCCCTCCTCCATGTTGATGTTGAGTTCTCTGCTTCATTCTCTTGATTATTTAATAACTTGTTTTCTCAGTTTCATCAATGCTCGCTGCGAGCTTTTGGGCGATGAATATCCATATATGGTTAAACGTTTATTATTCGCGGTTGCAAGTCGCGTAACACAGGGAAACGTTAAGGATTCCTTTTTCAGTGTTTTGGACGGGTGAGCGTTGCGAGAATAGAAAGATACTTATTGTCTGATGAATTAATTAACAAATTTAATTATCAGAATTGAAATGGAATTAATGTTAGAATTTTGAAGAGCTCAACTAACTCAATAAAAAATTAACGCATGACTAATTTACACAAAAAGCCAAAGTGCGGCCATGAAAATTACACACTGATATCTTTAAAAATCTTTTTGGTTTAAAATCAACAAGAGGTTTTGGCTTCATCAATCGTTTGAAGAGCCCAACTTTTAAATCTTTGCTTGGTTTATAGAAAACGTCACCGTTCTTGCTCAGCTGTTCTCGTGGGGACAATCTGTGAAGATTCGGCATCCGGCGCTCCGACATAAAGAGTGACGAATACGGACTCGCTCCATGCGACTGGTGCATCCGGCATGACCCGGCGATCTCTCTTTCTCTTTCTCTTTCTCTCTCTCTTTCTCTCTCTCTCTCTCTCTCTCTCTCTCTCTCCCTCTCTCACTCTCTCTCTATTTTCTCTCTCGCTCTCGCTCTTGTTTTGTCTCGCTCTCTCTCACACTCTCGCTCTCTCTCCTCTGACGTAATGGTGGGGGGCCTCCTCCTTGGAGCCTCGATGTCGCACAGCTGTTTGGTCGCATTAGTTTTATATCCTCACGTTTTTTGAGCCCCGGAATATCTACCCCCATTCCTTACCCAGTATTAGTTGCATTAAGAATAAATGATAGCAATGATAGTTGTAGACAAAATATGGTGACAAGGAATGTTCGCTCCCGTGTTTGCTATTTTGCAAGGAAAAAATAACTAGAAATTCGACGTAATTCGACGTTCGTTTTGTCAAAATAACCAAACTTCCCCCTCCTCTCGCATCTGGCGAAGCGAGGGCTCAAGAAAACGTGAGAATCAAGATAAAATGAGAATTCAATATGTATTGTAAATATTAAATTATATTTACGTGCACTATGTGCATTGTATTACTTGCAGTGTATTTGTTTTGCGTCGGTGCACACAGTTGTGATTTTTCTAACGAAACAATAGACACAAGGCGTTTTCATAATTTTCTTTCAATTTCTTCGCGCATTGGAATAATTGGAAATGAATAATGTCGATGTTTTAGTATTTTCCTTCGTTCTGGAAACCACCAATACACATATCTCACGTGGCTGATGGTTGCATTTTTTTTTTCAATTTCTGCGCATTGCATTGCAAGTAAGTAATGATTTCCCCGCCCCCTGCCTCGAATTTCTAGGTATCTAACGAAACAATAGACATCTCTCACATTGCCGTCAGCTGCATGGAGATGTGAATTCATAGCCCCATGGACAGCTGCATTGTTTTTTTTTCGATTTCTGCGCGCACAGGAAGTTGTAATGTATGTATCACAGTATAAACAACCTACGGTTGTACACTCTGTAAATTTAACATGCCAAGGTTGGTAATTCGAGTGAATCCATCATGTCGGTACCGGCACATGGATAAATATGAACTATGAAATTTGCCGCTAAAAGCTGAAGGGGTGATTAAGTTTTCGTGAGTATACGATTTTCATGTACTAATTTATGTAATTTATTAAAGAGATCCGCATCTAACCAAGATTTGTTCTTGTGTTGTTGCCTAAAGGCCCTTTTTATTTTGGTGTATCGTCCCGCCTGTACATGTGGATTTTGAGTTCGTAAAGTTACGCGGAACAATTTTACAATCCTTTCAAAATGTAAGCATATTTATTTGCCTCCATGCATTTCATATAATGTATCTGTTGCTGCTTCGGAACATTTGTAATACTCTATAATTCATACCTTGCCTTTGTTTTCTTTTTGTTTCAGTTCACTTAATAACTTTCTTTTAATATTTCAGGACAGTTGAAGTAAAATCAGTTTCAGAAATGCCTCCTCGTCAACTTTCTTGCGGCTTGGACTTTTGCAGTGTGCCAGATATACGATCAAGTCTTACAGTAGCTTCAGAAGCAGGGTATGTCAGATATATTGTTTCCTTGGGTGTATTAAGTTCGATGGTTTGAATATCCAAATGATAAGGGCAAAGTAGAGATGTCTGGGATGAATTATGCTGCCATATAAGCAGTGAATGGAAGATCCCTTGTACAGTATGTTTATTGGAGATCTATTTCATTCTACTGAATAAAAGATTTGCTAATGCATTCCATTATGTTTTCTTCAAGTATTTTTTGTTAACAGTTCTGTTAAGGTTTTGTTTTTTGTTAGTAACTGTGAAAATTGGTTCAATTACAAGATTCTTTTTCATCTTCACATGGAATTAATCTGGAGTTACAGAAGTTAACGATTTGCCATGTTTATGGTTCTAAACTGAAAGTCATGATATGAAAGAAAGTTTCAGAATACTCCTATTTGTGTTGCACACTTCAAAATTGAACTGTTATATCAGGATGCATTTTAGTAGAAAAATGCATTAATATAAAAAAATCTTTAATATAGTTTTCAACTACAGTGTTTGCTGCACCTAATTCAATATAATAGGAATAAAATTCTAATCCATGACAAGTTTGGAAATTGCAATTTATTTTTTCTCATGTTGTGAGTTACAGCATTTGAACTAAATTTATGTGGTTGAAAAAGGTGGTAAACTTAAGAAGAACATTGAGAAATTTGAATCAGATTATTGTAACTTTGTACTCTTTGTTGCCATTACAAATCCTGTGAAGGAAAGAGTATGTCAATGAGAACTAATATCTGGTGAAATTACTCATTGTTTCCATTTCACTAATCAATTGCAATGAAAATATGTACATTAAAAAAAAGTTTTCTCAATTTTTATATAATAAAATAGTGTTAAAAAATGTGCAAAGTACATATATAACTTTTGTTATATTTAAAGATGTAAATATAGTAAAATAAGAGGATTAACACTGAAAAGTTTTTTCTTGAAATTGACAACGAGGTTGTTTTGGTTTTTCTGTTCTACACAATTTATATGGATATGATACTTCATCAAATTTTTTCTCTTGCATTACTTCATTAAAAAAATCTTCCCCAAAATATTTTTAATTTACCTTACAATTGGTTTCCAGGTACAATTTTGTGTGTTTCCCAATTGTTCATCCAAGATTCAAGAGAGAATTTATCGGGGGTAAATGCAAAGGTCGAGACGGCCCATTCACAAGATCTGACCTTATTCTACCTGGTTCTGGTTGGTTTGATATTTGATATGCATGTTAATACATTTGACATGCGTGGTCTGTGTGAATATAATGTTGGGTGTACATTTTGTTTGTATTCTTACAAGTGTGTGTGTGTGTGTGTTGCAGACTGGAATACATTGATAGTGGGTAAGATATCGTCATACATAGATGTTGATTGCTTAGTCCCAGCTCAGAGGAAGCAGTATGAAGCAGCCTTCATTCAGGAGCTGCAGTATGCTAGTCATTTATGCTTGCCAGCTGTGATGGTTTCTCTACATGGATTGAACATAACAAATCTTGCCCGATTACTCAATAATAAAATTCAATCTAATTGTTCCTACCAGGTATGATTAAAGTTTGTATTCATATTTGTGCGAGTGTGTGTATGTGTGTGTGTGCTCACTACTATAAAGTACTGTATAATTTACTATTTCAGATATGGGTCCATGTTCCTATGGAATGTCCATCTGTTGGTTCAAAAAATTACTATTTAAATGAAAACGATGATTCAGAAAAAGAGGATGTTTTAAAACCTTGCACATGGAATTGGTAGGTTTCTTTGTTTTATATATATATATTTACATCTTTTTCTTTCTTGTTGCATGTGCTACTGTATCATGCATGCTTTGCCATGTAATTGGAAGATTTTATTTTTGTGGTTGTGACAAGAAAACATTTGCATTTTTAAATGTCATGTTTCAGTTACTTGAAATGTATGTGCATGAGAATATCCAATGTTATTGTTTTGTCACAATCAGAAGTATTTCAAGACAGTCAAGATATTTCAAGGAACCCAATTAATTTGCGTAATGTCAATGTTATAAGCAGAACTGGTGTAATTCTTTCATTGATAACTTTTGAAAATACATCTGTTTTAAATATAATGCAAATTGTTTATAATTCTTCTAGAAATTGTTTATTTGTACTATTAAGTCATCATTGGGCCAAGACTGGGGAAAATGAGCAGTAATATTAATTAAAAACACACTTTTTAAAACTGGTTTAATTACTTGTAGTAGTAGTAATAATAATAATAATAATAATAATAATAATAACAATAATAAAAATAATTTCCCTAAAACATGCAGATTTCTATTATTAGAAAGTGGGGCCTCAATATCACAAAATTTGGGATACCTGGTATTTTTATGTCTGTTTTCTTGCACCCTTTACTAGGTACCAGATGATTTACCTGCATAAGTCAAATGTGGAAAAGTGTGTTGTGCTGCTGTGAAATTTTATTGCAAGGAGGACATACTTGTTGGGTTCATTTAATTAGATTATGTTACTGGATCATAAAAAAAACAGTAAAAAACCATGTTGTGTGTGGTGCAAATATTCCAAATGTGCTTTGTTTTTGAGCTCCATAATTCCTACATCACTATTTTACTATGTATAACTTAGTTGGGGGATGAGGAATTATAGTACCCACAAGCGTGATGTTTTCAGTCCTGAGTGAAAGGAAACAAATTTATTTTGGCTCATTAGCTACAAATTTGATTTATAGCTATGTGCGTGTAGTGAAGCTACATTTGCCATCTATTAGCAAAATGAGACCATCACAGCATGTGCTGAATGGATTGAGGAAAACTTGACAAAAAGCTTGATGATTGGGGTATCATTGATCCACAAAATGAAATACAATAACTGTTACAGGGATGTTAAGTCTTACAAATTTACAGAACAAATGGTTACTACTGTGCTTATATCATATTAAAATAAACACATTCGTTTGTACGATCAGTGTAACGTGTATAGAAACAACTACACAGTGGAACAGATTTCATGGGTCATTTTAACTTGTGAACTGATTTTAATTGTTCTATTCTTTGGCGGATGGTAAGGAATTCTATTGCTAGGGTGAATTAGTAATGCAACATAGGTAACAAAACATCAATGTTACCAATTTTTTAAATTCAAAATAGGAAGTTTTGGTGTAGAGAAGCATAACACCAAACAACAGCATTGACAATTTCTGTGCATTGTGAAGTGCGAACTTTGCCACTTTTGTGCATTTGTTCAGGCGCAGAAGATCGAGATTGCAATAGATTGCTGTATGGTAAACTCTCAGTTAAAACATTGATCAGAAACCATTGGTTTTAAAATATCAATTTTTTACTTTCTCATATATGTATTTATATATGGAGTACAGAGAGAGTTAATGCTGTGGAGAATCGATTTCAACAGAAATTTGGGGTTTCCTCATATTGAAAAAGTGTGCGTTTTTCTCTCTTCAAAACATCTGTCCGTCCATCTGTGTAGCCCATTAGCGTCTAAACCAGACATAGCATTTTTTCCAAAATGGATATTTCCCAGTTGATCTGGTTTTATTTTGCTTTGGCACTGCAAATTTGAAAAACTTTCTGTAAAATTTGGGAGTACTTGAAACATTTTCAAAATTTTCTCAAAAATGGCTCTAAATCTTTTCATTAACTATTTTGTGGGAATAGTTTGACACATTTACATACTTTTTTTCTCTGTTAACTCAGAATTTTTGAAAATGACACGAGTTTGATTTTCTCTGTGTCTTCCTACAACTACAAAATTTAAGATTTTGTAGTTTTTCCTTCGAATGAAATTTGTTTTCCATATTTTGTACTTCCAGTAACATCATATACATTTTGCAAAACTTTTAGTAATTTCCCGCAATATTGTGTGCAATTTAAAAAAGGAACAAATACAAGATTTTCTAACATGGCTCCAAATTTTTTCTTCAAACTTTTCATATGGATTGTGCTAATTACAGTGTTTTAGATAATTAATTTTGCTGTATTCTTCAGTTTTTCAAAAATTACTCAAATGCAATTTTTGTGAAATATTTCCCACACTGATGATGTACACATTTCCAGTGATTTGTATACATTATTGCATTTGTGAGTGAAAGTTTTTTAAATGAAATTTTTTTAAAACACAAAAGTTTTGTGCAAAAAAAACTTCTAATTTTGCATTTACAGTAACGCTTAAACAATATTTTCCTACAAACAACCTCAAATTTTTCAATGAAAATGTTCATTTCGGACAAGTTTTTACTTTTCTTCAATATTCTAAAATTAATATTTCGAATCGATCAATAGGAAACTGAAAAATTGAGAAAACTTCAAAAAATATATTTTGAGTGACTATAGATGGCTTTTGGCAAGAGGATGGGTCAAGATAGAGAAGCTAACCGACTCCAAGGAAATTAGAAAACTTTACTAGAGACAGTCTGTGCCATTTTGTAGCACTACTAGTTTAATGCTGATTTCATTATCTCTAACATCAAATTTGTGGGCCACAAAATTTAATTTTACTGTGACTGCGTATATAAATTTATAATAAAGAGTAAACTGATAACAAACTAAAAATAATAAGAACAAATGAAAGTGCTCAGTCTTAAAACATGAAGCACTGTAATCTCAAGAGATTCTTTGTTGTCTTTGTTCTTTGGCTTCCCGAGTTTGCCAAAGAAAGGTTCGTGAAGAAGAGGAAAGGCCTTACGCTCATAGTGCCCTATCCTTAAGCATTGCTGCACTCTTAAGGACAGAATGTAAACTACTGTACAGTTCAATTTTGGCTCCCTTTCATCCATAAGAGATGCACACAAACCAACACAACGTTCTTCATACGGTGTTAAATGAGCAGAGACAGAGCCAGTCCATAAGTGGCTCAGAGGTTTAGAACGAGGTCAGTCACACTGCGTTGAGCATTTGTAGAGAGTATTAATGGAGCATCTTAGGACTAAATACTCATTCAAATGAATTTCTAAAAAGAAAAATATTTTGAAGAAATTGTAATTTATTCACATGCTTGTGATGAAAATTCTCTCTTTCTTCCTTTTTGTGGTGGAAAGGCTCATTGGCACTACCGTACAAACTGTCACTGGTTCTATGTCATGTGACAATGTATTGTAAAATAACAAACATATATTATTTGTGGATTTCTTGTGTTGAATCAGTTTTCTTAAGTCATTCAGTTTTGATAAAAACTGCTTTTTACTTTCTCGCATATGGTGTATGCAGAATACAGAAGTATTATAATTATGTAGGGGAAAAGATTTTTTGTAGAAAAAATTTTATTATTGGGCCCTGATATTGAAAAAATGGATAAATTGTGATCCCATATACAGTAAATTATGACCCCTAACAAGTTGTTAACTCAGAATCCATTTGGTGGGTTCTTGGTACCCAAAACTCAATTGATGACAAAACGTGTGTCAATGTGTGAATAAAGCCAGCGGTTAATCCATAAGCAGGATTTTCATTAAAATGGATATTTAATTATTTTATGGGCTGAAGCTCACTGGTAGTAAAAATACATTAGCCTAATTAACAAACATTGAATTTACTCGTATGAGATACTTTACATACGTATCAATATACATGCTACACAAAACATTTACTCCCCAGTATAAAATAGTTCAGACTTGAAAGGAGTGAAATAAACATTCCTCATATTAACAATTTAGTTTAGTAATCAAGTCTAGGAGGAGATAACAAGAGCAGATTATTCATACTTATTCACCATCCTTGTAATTAATGAGTTTAATTGTGAAATATTTATACTAAACAGGTCTATTTCAAGATCATTGATATTTTCACATGTTTGTGGTATTGGAATGTTTTTAGTATAATGCGACCTATAGATTTTTATATTTAAGGTTTGCTTTTGTCTGCATATTCTAGTAGGAATGTTAAACCTCAATTCTTTGATCAATTTGACTGATCGCAGCCTCTTGAATTTTAAACATATTTTTACTTTTGGCAGTACTTGTGAACTCTCAACATTATTTTGAACATTCTTCAAAATTGCTCCAAATTGTTTCCTCTGTTTAACAAAATACCCTTAAAGAAATGTAATTACATTTTTGTTAAACTCCCTGAATTTTTGAAAATGGCAGAAGATCAAAATTTTTCTGGCAACTTCCTACAACTACAATAATAAAGATATAAATTTTTACTTAATGTAATCTGTTCATCAAAAATAGATTTCATATAAGGTCATTTTTTCAAGATCAATTTTTACTTTTATTAATATGAGTAGCATTTGCGTGAATCATTGGAAACTTTTAAACAATTATTTTCTCCAAAATGGCTTCAATCTTCTTTCATGTTGTGAAGAATGGTAAAGAAAATGGTGCTGGTTAAATTTTCAGTGATCACACTGTATTTTTTAAAATTGCTAGAAATGAATGTTGTGGAAGTACGATATTGATAATAGAGATATTTTTCTTCAATGAAATCAGTTCTAAAATATTAATTCTTTAAAAAAGGTCATGTACAATTTTAAATATGAGAAGAGTGTTAGTGTAATTTTTGTAAATCTTCAAACTTGGCAAAATTGAATTTTCCATGCTTTATTTGCTAGAGTCTTTCATGAGATATCACACTGCAATACATAGACAATGCCACACTGCGACTCGGCAGTTTGAAATTCTGAGAATTCCTTCATTGTTGGAAGATGTTTATGGCTATATGAAACCATTTTTATTGACGAATTTGTTGATGTAACTATAAGAGAGATTTAGAATTTAATGTTGCAATTCTTAATCCTATTTACAAGTGACAACTGAGAGGTGTTAATATACACTGAAATTGTGGCATTATAATATTACACGAACATTATAGAGGCAAGTAAGTAAATGCGGTTGTAGATCCTCTAGTTTTTAAAAGAATGGGCAATACAATAGTAGTATTCCAAGCTCATTGAAGGGAGTCGGGAATCACAGGGATGAGTTTTGCTTACTATTCGTATAATTTTTTTCTTCAATGCAAGTCTGTGAACTTTTGAATTGTTTCTCCAGAATATTAAAAGCAAAAAGATAATTTAGAGGTTTCAGGAGAACAGAATGCTCAAGATTTCATCATATAGATAAGTGTGAGACATGTTTCTTTGATTTCTTTGGCCTCAAACATCCAAATTTTAAGGCCGTAGAACACTGGGTTTTGGAGTTATATTACTGTGTTAATTTCAGCACCCCTAACAGTGTTGCAGGTTGCATACGACAGGAATATTTAGATGTGTTTTTTACCAAATGCTTTGTATTTTTGAAGTTGAAGTGCAATTCATCAAGTCTTCATAAAATATACTTTTCTAGACCTTAGTTATTAAGATTAGTAGCATGTGAGAGATGCAAAACTCATCTTCACTACTGAAATAATACAGGAGATGGTTATCTTAGGTTTGAATGTATGTTTTACAAAATACATGCTGGAAGCTGGATGAAGGCTGACTGAGTCAGAAAGAATTCTGAATGCATACATAATAAACTTAATTTTGTCTTCTATTTATTTATATGGGTATTCAATTCCTGAGGTTTTACTGAATTAAATGCATCAAAATTTTGTTACTGTAAGAGGATCCGCTACTGATACTACAAACCAAAGTTTTACTGAAGATTCGCTAACATAATAGTGTGCTTTATGCTGATTTTGAGCAATGTAGCTCCATCAAATGTTTTGTTATTAATATAACTAAATTTGTTCAGTTTCACACAAAAAGATCTTCGAACAGTTTTTTTCTTACAAAAAAGTTTTTGCTATATTAAAATACATTTAAACAATTTGTACTGAAGAACGTTTTGGGTTGTGTGTTATTGACAGAATTTTTAAAAGTTTATTATGTTAAGTTACTTTTCAGTGATTGAAAAGTCTCCTTCAGTGCAAACCACATAAAGTTTATTTTCACTTTAATGACAAAATCTTTAGACAGTTCATTTTTTTACTAGATATTGTACTACAATTCCTTAAAGGTTTTGTTTCAATCAGGTAAGAATCTGTCTCCAAGGATCTTTGTAATTACAAGATAGTGCACTAAAACTGAAATATCAGAAAAGCAAAAAGATAATTTAGAGGTTTCAGGAGAAATGCATACCTCTATTCTGGCCAAGTCTTAAAAACATGTGTACTTCTTTTAAAGATGATAGAACACTAACATTTGACCATATTGTGATAGAAAATGAATAGATTGATTTTAAGATATTTTTCAATGTCCCCTCCCTCTGAGGTAAAGTGTACTGTAGATAACTTTTTGACTGAGCTGTATTCAAGAATAGGTTATGCAGTAGCATTATGTACCAAGTTTACGCAATTCAATTCATCAAAAGAGAAAAAACATAAATGTCCCTCAACTAGCATTTATTAGCATATACAAATGAAATACGGGTAGTACTGATCAAATAGATAAAGATATAAATCAGTATTGTATATCTAACAGTGGTAAGAAATTTTTCTAGACAATATTGACGTATCTCATAGATGCAGTGAGAAATAATGCTTAACAGATATACAAGAAGACAGGAAAATCACTAAACTGGAATTCAGAAGATACTTTGCCATCACATATGTTAGAAGATTAAAACACCTGTCAAATCTGTGGGCGCAGCTCTCCCATATGAAGAGGTCAACGTGAGTTTCAGACGATACTTGCTTTGATCAAGCTGATCATTTGATTGGGAAAATAGAAAATAAAAAGAGATGATGTGCAAATAATGAATTCTAAAGTTTCGTGGCGTGAATGTACATGACAAGTGATGTTGGTTTGTGCTTGAAATGAAAAATACTGTTTTGCGCAAAAAAACTGTAACTAATTTTCTTCTGTTTGACATTAAACTTTTTAAAAGAACTATATAGGGAAGTGTAATGTGATTGCTACTGATGTCTGAATAGATATTTTTGGAATTTGAACTAAGTCTTCTATATAGTCTGTCTATGTATAAATTTAAAAGTCCCAATATTGTCACACACTTGTGGAGTTAGTAATGGTTATGAATTTCTCATAACTCCCAATGTAATCAATTTACGGTTGGGTCCCAATCCCATGTCACAACTGTCTGCCGAGAGCTAGGAGCAACTGGCCTTGGCTCCACAGAATGAAAAAGAGATGTATCCTCTACTCATTGTTCCTTTTTTGCAAAGAATATTTGTTTCATCCAAGAACTGTTTTGTAATGAACAATGGCATATCATTTACTTTGCCATCACATTACTGATGGAAGAAAAGGGTCAGGATCTAAGATGGAATTCTGCAGGATCCAATGCCCAATTGGCAGTGAATCAAAAAGAGTTCATGAATCAGAAGTGTTCTTTAATGCCAGTATGGTATTTCCACATATTGAGATCAAGGTTTAAGGTATACCCAGTCTAAAACAATGTTACCATTTCCTTATGAAGATAAATTTGAAAGAATTTTATGGTCAAAGACATCAAATGCTTTTGGAAGGACCAAAAATATTTCAATAGTATCTTAATTTTGATCCATTGATGATGCAACTTCTTTAAGGAAAGAAACAAATTGCCATTTGCTTTGGTTTTTATTTTCTAAATTCGTATTGACAATCTGAAAATCCTTCATTTTCCTAAGAAAAGCTTCATAATTTGTAATATACATTATTTTATTTTAAATGACAAAAGAGAAGTCGGACTATATTTTGGAATTCTTTTGTTACCCTTTTATGAAAACCGGTTTAATTTGAACTGTTTGGAAAGTATTTGGAAAAATTTGTGTGCTTAAAAATACACGAGTTATCAAATGTGTAAGAGACTGTTGCTGGATTGATTTCATCCTGTAAAACAAGTCCCTATAAAGTCAATGTGGTTATGTGTTTTACTTGATTCCACATTCCTTTAATTTTGTCATTAGCATTTAAAATATTGTGATCATTTTTCAGGATTTTTTCCTCGCTACGTTTTTGTATTTTCAGATGTAGATATGAAAATTATGTGATATGTTTCAATGTTTGGATAGAAATATCGAGTAAAAGAAAAGATCGTAGAAAAAGTCTCTGGAAGGGGACAGAGTTGTTGTGTTTTATGTGCTGCTTCTCCTTATAATACACTACTTGCAATTTGCCTTCTTGCAATGCATTTTATCACAACCTTGCACTCAACTGTAGTGATGCCAAAATGTCAAATCTTCTGGTTCGCTGTTACTTGGGGTTCTGCTACGGCATTACCACATGATGACTGTCAACCTTCTTATTGTATTCATTGTGTAGATGATGTGTGAACCAGATCATTGCTTGGGTATGATTAAACTTTACCTGTCTACCCAATTGCCCCTAGCATTCTGTCAGTGTTTTGAATAACAATACTAGGTTGGTTTGGTTAAAATCAGGAAGTGATGAACATGCTAAATTTTTAGAAACTGAAACCAATCATTTAATGTCAAAATAGTAAGTTGTTTGTATAGTACTTTCAGTGTTCAAATCTAACTTTTCTAATTAATGTTGAGTTATCTAGTGTTTTGAATGATGGTTTAAAAAGCTGAGGTAAAAGAAGTTCTAATTGTCAATCACATGTTTATTTTAACTGAACCTTAGAACAGAGGGATTGTGATCAAATTCTGTATTGTCACATTCTACATTGAGTTTTGTGTAAGTGTGTGTTGTTCTAAGAGTGCTTTCTTGTGTTGTAATTTTATTCACTTCATTTAATGTCATTCGTTCTGTGTAGTTTATTATTAGAATTTGTGAAGAAAGAATTGAAGCTGGAATTTAATTTTCTTGGCTTTTTCAATTATTGTTTTTGTTCTTTTATTTATGCCTTCAGAACATAACTTCACTTCCTCATATATTTTAACTTTGCTTGAACTAATCTCTATAAAATTGCTTGGACTTACGGTATTATTTTACATGTGTTCATATATTTTTGCAGGTGGAGAAAGTTTCATTCTCTAGCTAATTGGGAATCGAAACTAGGACTTGCTTTGGAGATTACCAGTGACATTCCAACAGAGGAGGAAATAATACGTTGGATGGGAGAACCTATTAAATGCATATTAATTTCAACTGCAGTGTTCATTACAAATAAGAGTGGGTATCCTGTGCTGTCTAGAGCTCATCAAGCACTTGTCAAAACCTTGGCTTCCCTTGATGTGCAAGTTGTTATCAAAGGAGCCATAAGGCATGGTCAGATTAAGTACTACCAACAGTATTTAGAACATTTGTGGCAGGTAAGAACAAAGACAGTTTTTCAGAACACATTGAGGAAATAGAAATAACAGTTTAGTTTCAGTTTTCGATGCTGTAATTCTCACATTTTTTATGTTCTTGGCTGTATTTTGCTAGGTTCTTATTTTCTTGGGCTTTGATGAATTGCCTTAGTATGAGCCTTAAGGTTAACCTCAGAGTAAATATATACTTTTAGGGTCTTTCCCTGAATACTTCATTTGCAAAATATGGGTTCATCTTATATTCACAGTTTAGCCTAGTCTGTTGGAGCCCATACTTATTTTGTCAAGGAACTCAAATTCTGATGTAACAAAACATTGTAAAGGTGATAAAATCACGCATATCTGCAATATATTTGCAGATGTATTCTTGTAATTGATTATGGATTTACTGTATGACTCAGAACAATATTTTTGAATGGGCCCATAAAGAGATAATCAAAATATGACATTTTAGTATGTGAAATGCAGCAAATCAAATAAAAATTGTTGCCGAGGTTATGGTTCACAATATGTTTTTTTACTCTATCAGCTACATCAGTTGGTAAAATTGGAAAAAATTACCTTCAATTACATTTTGCATCCAATAGAAGATGGAATAATATTATAAATTCATAGAAAAAATCCCTCTGGAAACTTTGTCTCCTATGATATCCATGGAACAGAGGCGCAGAAATGTACGAGTTCACGACTCATCACATGAGCCTTAAATGATAGGAATGTCAAGTTCATAGAACAAGCATAATAGGAAGAAAAGCTGGGGGCACAAAAATCAATGTTTTTAGGTAGTGTCAAAAGACAAAGGCCACAAATTAAACTCAAACTTTCACAGGAGCTTAATAAGTCCAAAGGATCGACAACAAACAAACAAACAAACAAACAAAACAAAAAAAGACAAAGATGGTAGTGATAAAAACAATTATTTTATTATTTTGAGGAATAAGAAAATACCAATATTTTAAGCTAAAATAATTAACCTTACATCAAGACAAATCACAATATGACAATTTGTCATTATATTTTGATGGAATAGTAAAAATTTGTTTAAAGTGAAAAAAATATCTCCAGAGACTCTTCAAAATTAGGGGATTGTCTTATATTTGGATAAATGCTGTAATTTTCTTTATAAAAATTTGGAACGTTAGCTGTGTACTGTTTTTAATAATAAATATTTTAATTACACAGAAAAGTTAAGTTAGTATTGGAAAATTTTATGCAAAGTCTTATGTTTGTTATACAGAAATGCTTTATGATACATATCAACTATGTTTTTATGTATTAAATTTTATTTTTTCACTTCTCAGAATCCACTTCATTCTGACCCCCTCCAAGCGTTTGCTAGAGGTTATGAGGATTATTTGCAGTGCCCTCTGCAGCCTCTAATGGATAATCTTGAATCTCAGACTTACGAAGTATTTGAGAAAGATCCAGTGAAATACAATGAATATCAACGAGCAATCTATTGTGCTTTATTGGATCGTGTGCCCTTTGAAGAGAAGGAAAATGCTGTTCAGTAAGTGCTTTTGTGATCATATTGTTTATATAGAGAGATTCTTATCAGAAGGGACCGCTTTGAAAACTCCTACTTGGCCACTACTGGCAACATCATTACAGATTATTTGCATAAGCTCAATTTGTGTTCATTTACAGGTAGTTTATTTGCAGATTATAATATTATCACAATCTCTTGCAATGTCATTGATGTTTTTGTTTCCCGACTTGTCAGAGTGGTCCCTTAGAGTAACTTCTCTCTATTATAAAATTGCTGTTGAATGAGAATTGTTGAAGAAATCACAGCAAAAGATTGAGTCTCCTTAAATCCTACCTTTGATTGTTCATAATGTGGGATATAACACCCTATAAGGATTAAATTGCAGTATACGTGATGTGTAACTCAGCATACAAATTGGTTCAAACTACAATCATTTATAATACATATCATACTTATCACTGCAATAGTGGTCTATTTGAGAAGTGTGTGTACAAAGAAAATGCCTGACGCATAATTTTATATTATGTTAGTGAATTATAAATATTCATTTCTGCATTTAATCATGGAAACATGTATTACAATGATATTAAATCTTTTTGCCACCTAGAGAAACAGAATAAGCCAGGAAGGGAATGAGATGCTGTCTGTGAGAGGTTTGGGAAAGAGGTATTGCCATGCAAGGTCAATCTGAGGATGCTGAAGCAAAGTGTGATATGTCAAGTCTTGGCAATAAACTGATGAGAGCAGATATTAGTTCGGTGACGTTGGCCATCAGTAATCGGAAATCCATTGTACTAACATATTTGAAGCAACAAGAAAGCAAGAATACTAACATATTTGAAGCAAAAGAAAGCAATTAATGATTTGCCGCCCCCCCCTTTTTTTTTTTACTGGAAAAAGTATTTTAGTGGAATTTTAGACAAAATGTCCAAAAAAAATACGTAAAACATTCATATGGAGCCAAAAATATCTAAATATGCATTATATGCAAAACATTTATTACTTTTTTGTATATGTTGCCATGAATATACATATTTGAAGTTTCAGGGAGTTATGCCCCTTAAAAATAAAAGATGGAATTGCATGGACTTCCAGCTCTAATTATAAGTCAAGATTCAAAACAGTTCTCAAATCATATCACTACATTATTGGAAAAATATTCTCTGTAGTTTATGAGAAATTCTTTCTTTTAAAAATCTTAAAATGCCTTCATTTGCACTCCCGAACAACACATGTGCCCTAAAGGCTTGCACACACATAGTTTCATGCATATGCATGTGTGCATACCGTGGAAATATTGATGTATGGTAACTAAATCAGATTGAAAGTCTTCATAGACATGAAAAATTCCATACTTTCAAAATCGTCAAAGCTCTCATCACTATATCCAAGTTACTTATGTACACTACTCAACTCTATGCACATACATGTGATCACACAAATATGCTGAAACACACCTTGCAGATTTGCCAACTTCTAAATTTGCTCACATATTGTGCACACCCTATTAGTCAGAAAAAGCATTAATATAGGAGTGTGTAAATAATGGAAGTACATAAAAGCAGAACATGAACATTACATTAGTGCAGGAACACCTGTGGTCATTAGAGGATATACTACCATGCATGGATATCTGGTAATTCTACTACATAGACAACGCACCACCAGATAGCTTCAACAACGGATGTGCTCTAAGTCCGCAAAATTAATTTGGACATTGATATGTTAAGTTTTTTTCACTGTGAAAGTTACTTTAGGAATAAAAATAAAATAAAAATTCTAATAAAAAAAAAAGTAGGGAACAAAAAAGGGAAAATCAAAAATTGTTTGTTTAAGTATGATATTCTGAAATTGTTTAGACCATCATTTGGACCTTTTGATTGTGCATGTCTTGTCATTTGTATGTACCAGATATTACTATATAAATTGTGGTTTGTTTTAATAATGAACATGTTTTCAACAGAGTGGTAATGGTTGTTGGTGCAGGAAGAGGCCCATTAGTACGTGCATCCCTCAATGCAGCTCAAAAGGCAGATAGAAAAATACGAATTTATGCTGTGGAAAAAAATCCTAATGCTGTTGTTACGTAAGTGAAATAATTAATTCTAGACCTTGTGAATTCCCAGGACATGTTTGTAATTTTGAAGTCCCCATAGTGATGGCATTTTATGTTCTGTCCCTTATTGTTAGAAATATAAATGAATATGTGCATCGTTTGCAGTTTAATACATTTCGTTAAAAGTATCTAAGATGTTATTTTCAACATTTATGGAAAATACTAGTAACATGTGTATGGCATTGTCAATGATTATGCATTTATTCTTATATATTGCCATTTGTTTGTTCAATCTTTGAGGGAGAAATCATTTTGGAAAGATACAAAGCAATTTTTTCTTTTATTCAGGCTTCAGGCTCAGCAGAAAGAAGTGTGGGGAGATCAGGTTACTGTTGTGTCATGTGATATGAGGGATTGGAAAGCTCCAGAGAAAGCGGATATTTTAGTTTCTGAATTATTGGGATCATTTGGTGACAATGAACTCTCTCCAGAATGTCTTGATGGAGCTCAGTCATTTTTAAAAGGTTTGTTCTTTCAGTATGTAAGAATCTTAATTTAAATTAATATGGCTTTCAAGATATCTTTGAACTTGAAAACAAGAACTTTTGATAAGCTCACTCTATTGTGTTTCTAATTTGCGTTTTAAAGGGATGGTGATGGATAGTTATTTAAACTAGTTATATATACTGACATACTTTATCTAGTGTTGAAAAGAAATGGATGTGTTTTGTATAATTCAGATTTTGGAGAATTTTTTTATGCATTAAAATTGAAATCTCTGAAACGGACTTGTTTTTGATTCAGATGATGGCATCAGCATTCCATGCAGCTATACTTCGTATTTGTGCCCTGTGCAATCTTCTAAACTCTACTCTGAAGTTCGTCTTTGCAAAGAAAAAGACAAACATCCTTTGCATCCTTTTGAATCTCCTTATGTAGTGCATCTGCAGAATAAGTTCCAATTGTCTCCTCCTCAAACACTCTTTTCATTCCATCATCCAAATCGTGGTAAGTAGATAGTCATTTCTATTCAGTGATATAATGATTTTCAGGCAAGAAAAATGTAGATACTTGATCATTGTGTTTATTTGCATCTTATTATTTATTGTTTTCTGTTTGCTTTTGTGCTTGCAGATGAAATAATTGATAATACTCGTTATGAATGCCGCTCATACAAAGTTAATCAAGATGCTGTACTTCATGGCTTTTCTGGATATTTTGAAACTGTTCTTTACAAGAACATCACGCTCAGTATTTTACCAGAAACTTATACAAAAGGAATGTTCAGTTGGTTTCCTATCTTTTTCCCAATCCGGGTATGTTCTATAAATGACACTTACTTTTTCCCTTTTGTGTTTCTTTTCCGTACATGTAATATTTAATTTGTCTTAATTCTTTTCAGGAACCAGTCCATGTTAAGGGTGGTGATACTTTAGAAGTACACTTTTGGCGTTGCATCAGCAAGAAAGGCGTATGGTACGAATGGTGTGTGACTCAGCCTGTGCCTGGACCTATTCACAATCCAAATGGTCGCTCATATATAATAGGATTGTAAATACAACTGTAAATGTACTGTAAGTGCAACACATTGCCAATTTTTCCAAAAGACATTGAAAATATCCATATTTTAATTTTTTGAGTTAACTGGTAAGATTTCGCTCCACTATATTTTTATGAAATTGAAGTTTGCAATCTCTTTTGCAGGAACTTTTTGTTATTTTTTGTTCTGTCTTTTAATTTTGCAATGTTTCTTTTTCCAATACAATTAACTTTGTTGCCTTGGAGCCAATTGCTATTTTTTTTATCCTCGTAATTATTTTTCTGGTCTTTGGGTATAGTTACCATATTTACTCAATGTGTGTCAAACTCCTCTTGCAGTTGTATCCTCCAAACATTTTTTAATGTTTCTTCACTGACTAATGGATTTCTTGTATTTATGTGTCAGTGTCTTAATTGTCTTGTATCAATATAGATGGTATACCTTAATATCAATATGCATAACATTTGGATGTCCTGTTTAGATGCCTCATGTTATTATGTTCTATTGATGGTACACTATTTTGTTGTTTATATTGTTAAATGTGTTCAATGGAACTTGATGTGCATGTTATGCTTCTCTATATTGGTGTTTGAAGAAAAAAAGTAACAAAGTGGATGTCATTCTACTGTTTTAAAAAGATCTTGATAAGATTACAGTAAAAATACATGAGAAATAAGTGAGTAAGTATGGTAACAGGTACATTTTGTTTTTACAAAAACATATTCCAGGAATTGCAGAAGTCTTTGCATTTCAACAATTAACATAAATAAAATTTACCACAAAAGGGGTTTAGTATAAAATAATTTTTAAATAAGTGGAAATACTGAAATCAACTTTGTAGAGCTCTCTTAAATGTATTCTGCTATTATTGTGGCACAATAAAATTATTTGAAACTGCTTCATGAAATATATCAACAGTATTTAAATTTCTTCCTTGTTACGTAAAATTTTATTGTATTTAAAATTGTATTATATTGAAAGGCATGCAGCTAATAAACTGATTTGTGTAAAATCTGAAGTAATGTAATAAAATCCTTTCCTATCCTTTTTGAACTGAATAAAATGTTAAAATTTTAAAAGCATCACAGAAAATGAAATGAAATTTAGTTGAAACATGTTCATGACATTCTTCGTATCAGCTATAGAATAAGGTTAAAAAAATAAGTGTTTTATAAATTTCCATGGGAAGGTGACCACTGCAGTTTTAAGAACTAAACTAATTTCAATTTTGTGAGACACCAGACCTGTAGCCATTACTGGTTGAGAGATTACTACCAACTATTCCATGAGGTAGAGAGGTCCAATTTGAGCTGCCCGAATTTTGGGTTAGCAAATGCAGTAGCATTAAATTGAGAAAAGCAATCAACAGGCAGTTGTTCACGAGGAAGTGTGAATGAGTTCTGCTGCAGGTTGTCATATTGAATAAGATATGTTTTGGGGCAAATTCATGCACAAAATTTAAAATGTGGATATTGTATATACAATGTTGAAGGCATATGAAAAAAAATTGCACAATATTATTAATATTAATTCTCTTGTAATATTACTTTATTTTAAATAAATACATTTTTATTGTTTCCATTATATTATTTAAAAAATATAACCTAATGACCTGAACTGTAAATTTAAGTTTAATTTCTAAATTGAAGTTCTATAACATTATCTTTGCACTTTGTGATAATTGTAAACAAACAAACAAATTTTTTAAAGAAATGGATAAATAATCAGAAATGGAAAACAAATACAGTAGGACAGTGTTTCCCATGAGACAAACTAGCGCTAAAAAAGTATGTACTTTCTCTCCTTTAGTATAGTTATGAAATATACCACAATTTCTCTCCAAATTAACACATCTCGGTCATCAATTTTTGTGAAGCTCATTACAAATTATAGACTATATTGTGAAAAAACAAAATGTTTTCAAGTAAATATAAACACAAGTATGACAATTTCATACAGGTAAGTCATGCCTTAACAATAACACTAATTCGCAGAAATGAGCTTCCGAGTCATTGTTGCAATCCATTCTGATATTCCGTAGAGGCTAGCAAATTTTATTTCAGGGGTTTCAGATCATTTTAAATAATTTCTAAAAGAAGAATTTGTAAAGGTATAAAAAAATCTTGAATGTAAGAACAAGAAATATGAAGCAATATACAAATTATATCTTGCAAAGTATCCAACTGCCTGAAATTACATTCACAAAGCCAATAAATTCAGTGGACAACTATGTCACCAAATTACATAAAAAATACTCATATTTTAAAAAAATTCAACATTACCTTTGAAGATCGGTTTTTAATGAACATATTTCATTATGAAAAAAATACATCTTCACTATTGAAGGAAGGTGTAAAAATCTTTACTTTCGAAAATTTTGCTACATTGAAGAATATAGTAATATTCTAAATTCTTCCATATCAGGCATTTCAACGAATATGAGACAGTCTCTTAAGCATCCTTTATGCTATCTAAGGTCGAAATTTAACCAAAAAATTTCGCCATGTTTTTAAGAAAAAATGGTGTAAAGAAAATCAAAATTGACTGTATTTGACACAAATTTTCACAAAAAAATATTAATGTTTTTGAAAAATTGAACATATTTTTAAATCTCTTTTTCATGAACACATTTTATTAAGACAACTAGTGGTGCTAAAACATCACGTTCTTTCTCGCCTTTAGAAACAGGTATGTAATACTTTTTTCTAGTTAGGTAATACACTTTTTTTAAAAATAAATTACGAAAATGAATGAATGTTTAATCACTTGAAATTTCAGTTCTTTCTTTTCCTACACATTAAGTCCCTGTGACATTAAAAAAAAGTGTTTTATTGAATTTTGTAGTATGATGGACATTTATGAGAATGGCCAAAGTCTCGTTTTCGTTAAAAACTCTGATTTTTCGGAAGTTGTAAATATTCAACATTTTTTCTACATTCTAATTTTTGTACAGCATTTTTTTTATGTTTATCAAATTTCAGCTAATATCAAAGGTATGATTGTCTGTGAGTGAGGATGTCTGTCAAATGCTCGCAGTACACCGAGAGAAGTGTAAGAACTCGTGTAATGAATTTGTCTCTCGTTTTGAATGAAGCGCGCTCCGCGCGTGGCGGTGCCGACTTGAACGTTTCCGCCCCGATCCCTTGAAAAAAGCACAAACATCTGCCTACGGGCTTTCTATGGCTTGAAAAATGACACCAAAAATATATCTAACATAAAGAAATGGGATTTCCTTTTAAAGCGACTTATTTTTCAAACAAATTATCAGACACTAAACTCCTAGTTGGCGAATGTATATAACCCGCAGAGAAAAACAGTCATTCAGCAGGCGTGGATGAACATATCAATGTATTTCAAATACAAGTATTTAAATACTGCCCAACCCTATTCATTACAAATCATACAACCTTTGGTGCAAAAACTAAATATTTTCAACCAAATATCAACATAAATTTGACAATTATAACTGCTATTCATACAGTTAAATGATGTCCCAAAAATAAGACATAATACATTAAAATGAGCTTCCGAGTCATTGCAGCATTCTAACCTGCTATTCCCTGAAAGCTAGCAGGATTTCAAATGGGTTTTTAATAATTTCTAAAAAGTTAATACGTAAATGTATAACAAAAGATCGAATGTAAAAATCAAATAAAGTGATGTAAAATAACATACAAATTCTGACTTACGAGTGATGCAATTGTATGGTATCAATCACGAAGAGCAGTAAAATCGTAGCAAACATTTAATTTTGTCGTCAATTTACACAAAAAAATACTCAAAAAATTGAACAAAACCTATTCCGCATTTATAAGTGGGAGTCATCTACGCCACATTTATAAGTGCATTTTACTATATTTTTATAAGAAATTTAAAGAAAAAAATTGAAACCATTTTTGAGAAAATTTTGAAAATGTCCCAAAGGCTTCATGTAAAGTATCCCCAAAAACTAATGAATAATTTTCGAAATCCCAGAGCTTCGACTCAGACCAAATGGACAGGGATTTCTTCAATTTGGAAAAAAAATCCTATGCACGGTTTAGGCGCTTGTGTTGTTCACATACACCAGACAGACGAACTGACGGACGGACGGACAGGCAGATGGACAGACGAACATTTTAAAGGAAAAGAAAAGAAAAAAAATGGGTTTGATTATTCTATTGGCAGGACGATTAAATGAAATCTGTATGTCGTTTTTTTCGATGCAGACTAATTTCTATTAGAAGGGAACAAATATATCTGGTTATCAGAGTTAAGCAACAAAACTTGTGGCTATCATTTATTCTGAATTCAATTACTGTTAGGTAAGGAGTGGGGGGAGATATGCCGGGGCTCAAGAAAACGCGGAGAAATGACTTGATTACGACTCTTACGCTCTCTAAAGCGTTAGCTGAGTTTTTGGTTTCCAGACCCCAAGAAAAAATGCTTTGATCAAAATCGCCATTCTATTGGTTCATATTATGCGAAATAGAATTTAAATCCTTTTTCTCAGAAGATGGTTACCTTGTATTATACCAATAATGGAAATAACTTTTGCTAAAACGTGAACTTCCAAACTATAATCCAAGTGGACTGTTCATTGATTCTTCTAAGCGAAGTTTAAAGGGCGTTCTCCTTCGTAGAGGAAACTTTTTTGTTCAGTGCCTTATTCAGTGAACCTCAAAGCGCTAATTATACGCTAATTTGCAACTGATGTTATTTCGAGTGAACTACAGTGAACACAACTGACAAGTTTGTGGCGATTTTAAAGTTCTGACTATTGCTGAGTCAACGTATCATCCAGATCGATCAGGATCAATTTTGGAGAAAATCTAATTATATAAATCTTATTGTATTACACGGTTCAGTTGCTAGTGCTTTTTAAAAGGCAGACGAACAGACCTTTAGCCGTAAACCAAATTTTATCTGTACTGTCTTCATTGCATCTTCTACCCGCAAAACATTGATTCTGACTGCAGAACGTGTCAGAGGAAGTCATTTACGAACAAGAATTATCAACTTTTTACGGTTACAGGGACCTACCGTTCAATTTTTCCGCCACAAATAAAGCTGTAGCATTGTAAAACGGTGTCTGTACTACGAATGTAGTATGCGAGAAAGTAGAAAGTATAGAATTACCCCTCTGGTATTATCCGCGCACGTTTTCATGAGCTCTCATATCGCTATATGCGAGAAGAGTAGGGGGTTTTATTATTTTGCCGACAGGACTGTAGTATCAAATTTGTAGCTCGTTTTTAGATGAAAAATAGTTTCTACTCAGGAGGGAATATCTCTGTTATCTTATTTTGTCAACAACGCTCTTTGCTATCATTTATACTTAATTCAACTAACGTTAGTAAAGGGCTGTGCAGAGAGTGAGGGGTGAGGGTAGATACTCCGAATCTCAAGAAAACATGGGCGTAATAATGCTCTTGGGCAACCCTCTTCAAAGTTTGAAGTTCAAACTTGAAAATAACCTTTGAAAATACTCTTTGAAAATAACAGGATGTTAGCATGATAGTGCACGCTGGCGCAGTCTGGTGTGTGCTGTGGTGCAACATTCCTGTCAGGCGATAGCAGCGCCTCTAGTGGAACGAAGTCGCAGCGGAAGTTAGCATCTAGCGGAAGCACGTGTGTTGTTCTTTCTTGGTTACGTTTCGAAGCGGAGGCAGAGGAAGCGGCATTGATTGTTTTCATGACAGGTTATGTGTTTTTCTCAGGAATACTGCGAACGTCTATGAAAAAAGTGATATTGAAGACTTCTGCTGTTTGTTTCTTGTAAACTTTGAAAATGGTAGGTTTTTGAAGCAATTTTTGTCTTCACTTTTAATGGCAAGTCCCTAACCAATTTGCTTGTTCTTGCTTGCAGCCTGAGCTTTTCGTTTTGTTTGAACATGCTGCCGGATACGGTCTGTTTAGAGTCGATCAGTTTGAAGAGGTGGGAATGCTTTTACCCCAGATCGAAGCATCGGTGACCGATCTCAGTCGTTTCAACAGTATAGTGCAACTAGTAGCATTCTCTCCTTTTAAAACTGCTGTTGTGGCGTTGGAAAATGCGAATCACATATCAGAAGGTAATCAGGAGAAGGAAGATTTTCTACCTAATCTTGTTTTTAAAATTAAACATCCGAATTGTTACTTTTTGGCAGACTTAGTGTTGGCTTTTATTTGCAGGTACCCTGACATCGGAACTACAATTGTTTTTGGAAACTCATCTACCACTTTCCAAAAAGAAAAAGTTTACTCTTGGTGTTAGTGAGCCTAAATTGGCTTCAAGTATTACAGAAGCTCTGGGAATTACTTGTACCCATATTGGAGTTGTTCCAGAGATAACAAGAGGTGGTGTACTGTTTGACATTCTTTAATTGCAGAAAACATTTTTTTCTTGTAATTATTTTTTTATAATGGAGAGTAGTGTTACCCCCCTACTAGACCATCTAAATTGCAAGTCATAGCCTGCCATGAAATATTAACTTTGAAATGAGGTGTTTATTTGCATTTACATTTGTTCATGGCGACTTCTGGCAGTGTTATCTTATTAACGTTTAGATTTGTTGAAGGAAGTGTGCACGCCAGTAAAATATTATTCCTTTTGTATGCAATTCTGTTGAAAATGAAATTTATAACACAAGTGTGGAAACGTAAACTGTGTTGAGGGCTGTAAGGCCCTTGCAGAGTTGTGGGGTCATGACCTGTTAGCTCATCATCAACCCCTTAAAACCAAAACATGTTGGTTATAAAATTAAGTTCTTTTGAAAATAACATTGTCTGGAACATTTTGACTTCAGATTTGTTTTACGTAAATAAGTTGATCCAGTTATGCGTACAGGAGGCCTTGCAGAAGTACTCTATTGACGGATATTTGTAGAGGGGGTTCGCTATTTTTCATGTTAACCTTTTTAAAAATGTTTTTTTAATATATCACATTAAACATTATTTTTTCAAGGTTTACGAATGCACTTTCCCAAATTGGTGAAAGGCTTCACTGTTAAATCAGCTGCTGTAGCGCAACTTGGTTTGGGTCACAGTTATTCACGAGCAAAAGTGAAATTTAATGTAAATAGATCAGATAACATGATCATCCAAAGCATTGCATTGCTTGATCAGTTGGATAAAGATGTGAATACATTTTCAATGAGGATCCGGTATGTGCACTAGAATTCTTCACACATTAATTACATCTTATTTTTGTTTATTTTAACTGTAATGTATGTACATGTTGCAGTGAATGGTACTCTTATCATTTTCCGGAGCTTATTAAAATTGTGCCCGAGAATTATATGTATGCTAAAGTTGCCCAGTTCATTAAGAACAGGAAAGAGTTGGATGAAAGTAAGCTGGAGGGACTGGAAGAAATTGTTTTGGATAGTAGCAAAGCAGAAGCTATTCTCAATGCTTCACGCTCTTCAATGGGTTCGTATTTCTCACTTACGTCAATGTTTATTAATATGGTTTAGTAATCTGAAAATTTCAATAAAATATCAATATACTGCTTTTAATACAAGATTGCAGTCAAACTAATGTTAGTAATTGGTATTATTTTTTGTTTCTTTTTTTCACAAGAACATTTCTTATAAAATAAAAATGTAATAACAAATAGTTTTAGGACATTATCAAAAGGAACAAAAATAAATAAATAAATAAACCTATTGAATACATAAAAATCATATTGGATTATTGATATACCAGAATTATTTTTTCTAGAAGTTCAGTACAAAATATGTTTAATAATGGCAGCCAAAACTGCTATAGACTTATAATATCAAGTTTTTAAATTATCTTTGAGTAAATTACATTCTACATTTCTACATATGAATTCACGAATAACTTCATCACAATCAGTAATTTTTATTGTGACTTTTCTTGTTACTCTTAAAACTGCTCTGAAGAACTTCATCTGAGTTTCTTCCATGCTCTTGGAGTCCTTTACTCTCATTATACATTCCTGCACCATAATTTAGAATTGATTTTGATTAAATGTTATGAATTTTCTGTGTTAGTAATCTTGTGTCTCTTTAGACTTAGCTTCATTTTCTTAATAATTCCAAATAGCATCCATGCACAAAAGTGATAGGTCAAATCTAACCCCTAACAGGCCATGTAAGTAATGGAGAAACTGACTTACAATAAAATTAGGCATATAGCGAGCAGTTAAATACCTTGAAATAAGTTCTTTGTCTCTTGTAAGTTATCTTCACAAATTCTGTACACCCAAACTAATATTAATTGCATGGTTATTCTCGTACTTCCTTTTTTCGTACCGATTATTTTGTCATGAAGAAATTTTAAACTTCTCTTTACGGAAACAAACTCGCCAGAAGCACCCAAACTTAAAGTTCATTGTAACAAAATAAAACATGAAGTTTAGTTCAAATTATGGAACAAGATTACTCTCATTTCTGCAAATTTCCTTGACAGTCTTTCTTTGCTTTCATTCTCTGAGCTTATGTTGCCTGATGTCAGATTGGGAACTGATTAAGAGAATAGCCCACAAAAATGCAATATCTGAAAAATGTGTGGTGTCATTTTTTTTTTCAGGAATGGACATTTCTCCAATTGATCTTTTGAACATAGAAACTTTTGCTGGAAGAGTTATTGCATTGGCTGATTATCGTCAAAAACTGTCGGATTATTTGCGATCAAAAATGAGTGATGTAGCTCCCAATCTGGCTACACTGATTGGTGAACAAGTTGGTGCAAGGCTTATTGCTCATGCGGGTTCATTGACAAATTTAGCCAAATGTCCAGCATCTACTGTCCAAATTCTTGGTGCTGAGAAGGCCCTTTTCAGGTTAGTTTCATTAATTTTACAATGAAAAACCATTGTTAAATTAAAAACCAAAGAATCATAACAGGTGACTAATTGTTTTTCTCCAGGGCATTAAAAACGAGGGGAAATACCCCAAAATATGGTCTTCTTTACCACTCCTCGTTTATTGGACGTGCAGGAGCAAAAAATAAGGGCAGAATCTCAAGATACCTGGCCAACAAGTGCTCTATTGCCTCAAGAATTGATTGTTTTTCTGGTTGGTGTTATTTTAATGTTTAGAAATTACATTTTTTCATTGCACTTGAGCATGCACAATAATAGTTTCATGTTTTGTAGACTATGTCACCAATGTGTTTGGTACAAAGCTGCGTCAGCAAGTGGAAGACAGACTGAAATTTTATGAAGTAGGAGAAATACCGCGGAAGAACATTGAAGTAATGCAGGAAGCAATTCAAGAAGCAAGTGCTCTTGAGGTATGTTTCTTAAAAGAATGAGAATGTTTTGAAGTATAATGAAGAGAACAGGGTTAGTAATTTGCTTTTCACATAGGAGGCTGCAAAGAAGGAGGCGAAGAAAAAGAAAAAGAAGAGTAAGAAACGTTCCCTGGATGTGAGCAATGGGGTTGAAGAAATGGAAATGGAAGTTGAAGCACTTGAAGTTACAGGTAAGTTGAAGTTGTCATCCAATTACTGTAAAATATCACTTTATGAAGTTGTGAGGACCTCAGAAATTTATTTGTTATAGTGTGACTTCATTATAATAAAATAAGTTATTACAGGATCACACAATAAGCAAATATGCAATGTTATGTGCAATGGTTTGCGAATGTTCATTATGTTTCCAAAATTATGTATTGCTAGAAGTAGTATTACACAGCGTACACAATTATAACAGTGGCTATGCAACATGGCTAATTACTACATGTGTATCCTCCCATGCTTTTATGAGCTCATAGGGCAATGGGTGAAGTTTGTGCAAGAGGTGTTCTAGAGATTTCTAATGATTCCTTTGGCTATTGTCTGAGTAATATTTCTCACAGCTAATGTTGGATGGTGGTAAGAGGATTCCATTTTTCATTCAGAGGCTTCAAATTGTGATGTCATTGCAGAGTTGTCTGCTTATTTAGAAAAAAAATCTTTCAGCACAAAAGAACTGAAAATTCAGTGCCTTTTAATGACTTTCTTTGGTTATAATCATGTTGGTAATGCTGTTGTCTACTGCTGTGTGCGCTCATTAATATTTGTTTCTTACTACTCATGCATGAATGTAACATGACCACTTGTCTGCTGTCTAAGTAGCAACATCACCCTATCCCACACCCAGCTGCCAAGAAGACAGAAATATTATGGACAACAGTGTCTTCTGACGTCTTTGTGAATATATTGTGCAGTGAAAACCCTCCAAGAACATTAAGTTCATCATTCTGTGATGTTTCAGCTTTCGTTTTTCTTTGGGGAGGGGGGTTATCATATGCTAAATGTCATGGGTGGTCAGCAAACTTTTGTTGATAATGAAAATAATCCGGTGTGCTCCTTCATTATAAATAAATATTTTATAAAACATTTATTGTCAGTTCATCCGATTTTGTGATCAATAAAGGCAGAGATTTTTTTAAAGAACAGTCCAAACCTAAAGTTTGCAAGCTGAGTTAACTTGAACAAAAAGAAGAAGCCTCAGTTACATCATAATCAAATTTTTTACGTTCTTATTCTTTGCTTTTAGGGATTTTTTAAAGCATTTTAAGATAATTTTATTGATCAATTTTGGTAATGCTTTAGGTCATCAAAATCCACCTCTGTCATGTGAAAACACCTAACCTTACTCGCTCATTCGAGGTAGTGTTAAATTGTTTGGAATTGTGAAACAAAATTGGAAAAAAAACAACAAAATTTCATTCAGCAGAACTAAAATTCGACATTTTCTTCATGTTTAATAATACAGCAGCATATTAAGCAGTTTTTACTATTACAATATTTATTTATTCATCAATCAGGCCATCACCCAATTTAAAACTATAAAAACAACAAACATAAACAACTCTTGACATCATCTTTATATCATAGTGTCATATCATGTCGTATTGTCGAATAGCAATGCTAGTGACTGTTGGGAAACTCCTGCAACATTTGGCGACATGAGTAATAATTCTAACAATTGTAGATCGTCATTCACCCATATATTTGTAAGTCTCCGGCAATTTTTAACACCATGTGACCCAGTAAGTCAGTTGCTGGAGTTGCACATTTTAACATGAATTTACAAGTGATAAAGCATAATATTTATTATAATACAAAAACCTGAAATAATTTTGACCTGCTGAGTTGTCAATGGAAAACATAAATGGACATGAAAATGTAATTATTTACAGTAATTGTTGAGCAAATTTTTAATACAAATGTCTCTTTAAAAAAGGAAGAAATCTCTGTGGAAATATCTGCTAGTAAGGCAACTGGTTGTAACAAACTGGTATTTTAATAATAGCTACACATTCACGACGAGTCACTCAGTACAAATAGACGGAGATCTCTTTTGTTGGTTCTAATATCTTGTCTTAAAAATATCTTAATATAAAAATTAATCTGAAGATGGGGGGCAGGGGGAAAGAAACTTTCGAAATGTCGTTTGAAGACTGCAAAAACAGTAGTAATATTTTGCTTGATATGAAATATATAAATTTCAAGATTTCTGCTCTATAAAATATTAAAGGGACCTGTTTTTTAAGTGAAATAAAACAAAGTATACGATTGTATAAACTTTAATTTATTTATCCTTTATTCTGGTATACAATGATCTAGGCTGATCCTTTTTTATATTTATATAATAAATGCTATTCAAAATCCTAAATTATGCTCGAGACACATCATGTCGTTTGTTAATTTGTAATCTTTACACCCCAGCCCAACATTTCTTCTTGCATTCAATGTCTTGCAAAGCTTGACCTATCACCTTTGTGTGTGGGAAATGGGTACTATGATAGAACCAATTTCAATTATATTTTCAAAAGAAAGTTACTCATGCAAAAATGCGAAGTGTTCAAAGAAAAGAAGTTCATAATTCATGTTTTTTTAAATTATTTTAATTTCCATCCATGAGAGATTTAGTGATAAATCATAATTTGTTGAACTCTTAATATTCATTATAATGGTGTTCGTTATTTCAACATTTTGCATTATGTGGTAACTACTAACAAAATTTGTCAAATTTTTCTCTAGTACAAGCAGTGCAGAAAATATTTTTAAATATAAATTCATGTTCTAATTGCTAAGTTGAAATAATTATTGTTTGCCTACCTTAGTTCAATTTCCAAAAAGTGCATTGTAAGGCAGAGGATTTACAGTACTTTTATTTACTTTGCACGTGAAAAAATTAAATGTCAAATGAGTCCAGTGACACATTTTGACAAAAATTTTGATATTTTCATCTATTTTACCCTCAGCCTTTCATTCTAGGTAAACTTTTTACTACAAATAGGAGAGAAACGCTCTTAAGGGTTTGTCACAGGCACATTTTGCTGTATAAGTCAATTCATCTGCAGTGTCCTAGGACTGCGTGCTCTTTAAATTTTGTTTAAAAAGACAGGCTGCTCTACTTTTAGGAAGGACTCGATAGGAAGATGAAATTTTGTTTTTATGTTGGACAGGTGGTTTTGTGCTTCAGTCTGAGAGAAAACATTTCAAAGAAAATGGGAAAGTTTTGTGTGTTGAATAGTGGTGCTGAATAGATAAGATTAGATCTCTGTTGGGAAATGAAGAACAGAATCAAATAAAGATTCAGATTTTTTATTTTCACAAAAAATAGAAATTTGGTAGGTCTGTCGATTTTATTTGTTGAAAGTTTTTTATTACTTCTTCTGGGCAACCTGCGGATGCTACCAATGAAGATAAACAAATTTAAGTAACTGAGAAAACTGAAGAATACATATTATTGCTTGTAGAATTAGTGAAGGCTGGGTCATGAAGATTGGTCAGTGGAAAGAATTAAACTATGTAGTTATTTGCCAGGGTTTTGGAAAATATATTTCCTTCATCAGGGCTCTTTAACTACTTAATCCTACTGTTCTACATATAAATACTGTAAAAAAACAAAACATGAAGAGAAAAATATAATTACATCACTTGCGGCCACAAAATGAAACAAGGAACTTGAGCTACAGTCTTGCAGGTGGTGTGAGGAACACTACACCAACACACACCATGTTTGTTAATGGTAGTGTTATTAGGGAGGAGAAAATAGTTATGTTATATAAGTAAATAATATAGAAGTACTCAGATACGAGATATAATAATGATTGTGGAATTTTGGGAATTTTTTCTATACACTCACTACTATACACTAACAGTAACATCATAAACTTTACTTCATAAGGACACTCCACATAAAATATAGCGAAAGGAGATGGTTATAATTGGCCTGTTCTCTGAAAGACAGGGCTATGTGTAAAATCGCTGGTTTGAAAAAATGCATTTGTTTTCATATTGTACTTTTATTTCATATTTTGCCTTGGATTTTCGATTATTAGTTAAGCAAATAATATCCCTAACAGCTTAGGAATCGATACGTCTGTTGAATTTGACAAAGAAAAATTCATTTTTTGAAATGTGTATGAGCCTATAGGCCTTCTTTTGGAGAATGCCTGAATTATTATGTTTGATGTCTATTTTAACAGAGTTTTTATAAATGGGCTTGGTCGGAATAATTAATTTGTAATCAGGTTGACACACAATTACTTATATTTTTTTGTTGCATGTGTTTTATTGCTATAAATTGTTTTGTTTTTTAAAGTATGCTCAGGAAATTTTTAAATTAAAAATATTCATTGAGGTTCTCTTGCATTATATCAAAATTATATTTTATCTGTATATTATTTTTTTGTAACGTTTTCCTATTTCATTGTCATTGTTATATTATAATATAAAAATTGTGTATTTGTTGTGAAAATTCTATTTACATAAAATGGCAAAAATTATATCTTTATTCATAAACCAATTAAAAACTGATCAAAATAAAGTTCAGAACGCTTTAGCATAAGAAATTCATATCAAATGAAATCTAGAGGGGTGGAATGATTTCACACAAGATGTGTTGAGGACAATGGACAAATTTACATATAGGTTTTCATTCACTTAACATGTGAAGTAGTATAAGTAGTGGCACTGGGATCAGTTGGGCGTGTGTTTGGTGAACATTAGCTCTGACTGGATTAGCTTGAACACCAATATATTGTGCTCGGAACACATGAACTGTGATGGACCATGTGAGATGGACTGAAACTAGCAATTTTTTAGAATTTATAGAACAGTGTTTCTGGACTTTTTATGTTTCCGTTCTGTTTCCCTGTGAGATTATCATAACTAAGTCCATTTTGTCAATTCTGTTATTGATAATACTTCAGTATTATTTAAGTAAATAGAATGCTGCTTTTGATTAGTGGCCATTTAGGGCCTTAAGTTACTAATATTCGCGTAAATAAATGGACTAAAAAGGAAAATATTCTTGGAGCCTCAATAGTAAACTGTTTGAGTACTAAATCTTCGATGTAACATTGTCTTAAGTTGTTTTATTAATAACTTAAGTGATTGGATCCCCAAATTAATCTTTACTTTCAATAATACTTGTTTTCAGGAATGTGTATATGTCCAACACCAATTTGGTGTATGAATTAGGGGCATGGGATGAGTTGCAATGCATGTTTTCTAAGAAAAATGGACTTATTTTTCCAGAACCATCTCCAAAGAAGAAAAAAAAGAAGAGCAAGAAAAATGCAGAGGACTAAGATGCTTCATCTCTATTTTCTACATACATTGTGTTATAACATTTTTAATTTCTTGTTTAGCTTGCAAGTTGAACAAATGTTTATTTTATTACAAGATTCTTGTTCTTACTTTATTGGTAAAGAGCGTTATATTGCCCCTTTGTGGCAAAATAAAGGAGTACAAGAAAACATGTTTATCAAGACGAATTTATTTCTGGGCTCCATGGTGGAAATGTGTTACTCATCTGGAAAATGTAGAATGACATATTTCTGGAAAAGTGTTGCAGAAATTATTCTGTATCAAAGTACAGAAATTATGCTGGGAAACTGTTATAATTCGTCAATGTGAGTGTACTAAGGAGAGGAAAAGAATGTGATGCAGTGAGTAGCAGTCAGAGAAAGAGACCTTTTTCAAAGGCCACATGTAGACATCATAAAAATTATTTAATAGTCAGATGCAGTAATGAGTTGATGTTAAATTTCATAGCTGAATATTTGTAAATGGAATAGGCCATGTAATGAGTAGAATTGAAAGATGTCTATATCAACAGTTCTTATGTAAAAAATGGTAAAGACAACTTTCTTTTTCACTTGAATTCTAATGGCAACATCCCCTTACCAATTACCCATTTAAACCATTACAGTCCTTTGTCCCTTGTGGCAGGATATATCTTTTCCTCGTAGCAGACCGTTTAAATCCCCCAAGTACTAGTTAGCACAGATCTGGCATGCTGCAGCGTAAGAAACTACACTTGGGCTCTCCCTCCTCCCCTATTATTTTTATTGTGACAAAAAATTTCATCCTTCTCCTTTCACTGAGTGTCACCATTGACGAGCGAAGGAAAATGTCTAGTGGAGTATTTTTCTAATACTATGTTAGACCAAGAGGATAGGGTTCTTTTATGGAAATAGTTCATTGAGCATCCTGCACATCCACCATTGATCATACACACTCTGTATGCTTCATTGGCATGGAAGTACTAGAAACAAATCAAAACTGCATCAAGGCCACCCTCATAAAGGGAAGGATGGATGTTGCCGGAAACAATATACACAGCAAGGGCAAAAATCATGCGATAACAAATGAATATAAAACGAGCCAACCTTGCACAAAGCAGCCAGTATGCCTTGTGATGTCTGCCACCACGGTACTCTCGTGTACTACTGTCTCCTCTGTGCAGCAGGTAGTCAGTGTTGAACTCCAGAAGGCTGCCAAGCGTATTTGCAAAATCTAGATCTTCTCTCCTACAAGGTAAGCCATGCCGACTGCTTGGGAATGGAACAACCAAACACCCAATCCCGACGAATTTCAGTTGATAACATCTTGTCTACTTGCACCTCACTTGACTGCTTCACTTTCAGCTCACACACTTTAATAGCAAGACGAACATACGGTTATGGGTCCCCCTTCTCTGCCATCCCCCCCAAAAAATTGTACCGAAAATCTTCCATAAGACCATGGATGAATACGACAACCAGCTCGATACCACACAGACAGTACTGTTACACCTTCACTGCCTGTGACTCCCGACTCGAGACACCATCAACGCCTACAAAGAGAGTTGGACAGGAAAATCCAAGCCCATTAGCTTCACCTTTGCTGATAGCAGAGACCACTTTTATTTTGTCTACAAATCCACAAGAGGCAACGACGGTCACTTCATGGAACGACTTGCTGAGAGTCTTAAATTCAGAAGTGACCTCTATGCAGAGGCACATATCACAATACAACTCATCAGATTCCTTACAACATTTGTGCTATATCTTTTGCATGAAGGTATATGCAAATTTGGCCTCCTTGGAAGTGGTCTGGCAGAATTAGTAGAAGAAATTGGCTTATGTATCGGAACTATCGAAAATACAGATACTTCCCACACCACACCCTCATCAAAAATATTTTGAGGATTCGAAAGACAAAAAAAATTGCACTCAAGCACTTTTTTCTTTTCTTTTTCATCCCTTCTCTTTCTTCTATCCTAATTCATGATACATAACTATGTAAATTAATGTTTGGTGCACAGTTCTGCACAGCACCAAATCACCAATAATGCCTGTAGATTACATATCAGCTGAGCCATCTCTACAGTCATTTTCTTCATGTACTTTAGAATCACTCAAGATAGTTTTCATATTCTTAGTTTTCTAAAGAATGTTTACAAATTTACTCAAGTCATGTTGTGGCAACCTTGAACACTTGTTTCAAAGCCATCAAAAGTACAACTGCAGCCTCCAAAGCAAACAGATTTAAAATGACAAAAAGCAGGCCAAATCTGTTGAAAGTGAAAGAAATTACTGCCTAATCTTTCCTGAAGAGAATTAGTTGTACTGATAACGGGTGATATCTACCAGAGTGAAATAACACTAAGTTGAAAATATATCCTGCCCCATGGGACAAAGGACCAGAACTAGGAAAGTGAAAGTCCTGCTGTGCAGGGCATAGGACTGCATGACGAAGGAAATGAAAAAAGAAAAAAGGACTGCAAAGGGTTAATACTGATTGCACTGAGATGGTAATTATTATAGATTGTCCGTAATGTTTACAGAATAGACCTCTATGGTAACTATTCTATTCTATTATTTTTTTAAACTTTAAAACAAATGGAGACTTACATCTCCAGACTGTCAAATGTAATATAGATGAATAATATAGCAAGTTTACCCAAGTGAAGGAAAATTCCTGTAATATAATTTATAACAATGTATTTGTGCTCCCTGAATACCCTCCTCTTACTGAACAAGTTTTTTTGTTTTAATTTTTAATGCTTTAGAACGAATTATTGAAATAAAATTATTTCTAGTTCAAAAAAATGTTCTTTAAAATGTAGAATTTATTAGTAATAGCACATATCAGTTGATGTTATGGTTTTGTTTATGTTCATGTAACATTTAATTTGAAGAAATTTTGTGAAATTGAAGGTAACGGTGAAATTAGTGATATGTCGTAAGTATGTCACTCTCAGCTTACTAGAACTTCAAAGAAAAATTTTGGGAGCAATTTTAACAAAATTTCGAAAATGCCCTAAGGGAATCATGTAAATTACCATCTAAGTATAAAGAGTTATTTTCAAAACCCAAGGCTGTCTTGCTTGCAAGATCGTCAAAGAATATTGATATCGGGAAAATTACTATGAATAATTTAGCTTCTAGTGTTGGTCACAGACGGGACGTTTTTAAAAATCTTTCGACCTCAGGGGATCCCAAAAGTATATATCTATTAAGATCTCAAAGTCAATATTCTGCAGCATTAAATAACTTTCTCTACTCCACGCAGGGGCGGATCCAGTCTGTCTTAGCCAGCATGACATCTTTTTCCAGAGGAAAATGATGAAATTTACGAGTGCCTAATGTGGGCATCTCTATTGACTCTCTCCCTACCTTCTTGTTTATACTGTTCATCAGTTTAAGCAACAATTTTCTAGTTGTTCTTCGCAGAAAAATGAAGTACCTTAGGAGTGGGTCCGGTGATGTGTTGGGCCAGTGCAGGCTTGCACGAGTAGCAAGCGTTTGCGTCCTGCCTATTTCTATATATCTATGTTTCTATATTGTGCAGATGATCGGGAAGAAAAATCCCCAATTCGATGGGGGAAATTTCCAATTCTTTGTTTCAAAACGAGAATCAGATGTCGCTGGAAAATATGCGCAGAAACTGTGTTACAAGCAGTCTGAAACACGGTTGTCCTGGAACTAACTCATTTGGACAAACTAATTTTTGAAGACGACAAAAGGATGCAGTGAGCCATGAGAATTATTCCAATGAAATCGTCGCACTTCATCCTGAATAACAATGGGAAAAGTTTAAGAAATATCGCACAAAGCTATGCGTTTCCCTAGTTGAAGCGATATTTTACTACATCGTATGTTTTTATTTTGTTCTGAAGAGATGAATGTGTTATTAAGTCACCAAGTTTGCCAGTAAACTATCAATAAAATCTTTTTTGGACTTCGTGATTGTCTCTATATTTGGTCTGTCATTTCTGACTCTCTATTTGAACGAAATTGTTTTGATAAAGTTTTTTCCATTGTTTCTTCTAAAATATTTTTAAACGTCAAAATCCCGGGGCATTCAGAGCACTACCAAAAAAAAAATTTGGAGTGGATTGCATACCAATGAACGCTGGGATGTTTTCCTAAGAAGACACATTTAAGTTAAAATGAAATCTCTCACGCCTTTAATGTGCACATTTCGAGCAATTTGTAAATACTATTGCATTGCATACTATTGCATAGCCGAGACCAATAGATATATAAAACTAATACGGTAAAGTCTGCCATTCTGTAGCACCACTAGTTATTAATTCGTACCCAATCTTTCCCCATTTTGCTGGAGTTTCCTCCTGCTTCTCTATTTGTCTCTTCAATCATTATATTGTCCAGTGTCCATAGACACACTTCTGACAAATTCAGCATCTTCAGGTTTGAAAGTGATTGCTACAGAATTTTCAAGTTCGTAGTCCATTGGATTCTTCGCTAGGTCAAGTGACAGAAGTTTCTGCAACTGTTTTAATCCCATAGGAACTGTAGAATATCTGTTGTTGGAAAAGTTAAGATTCAGAAAATTAGGGGTACGGACAAAATTATCTGTAAAAAAAAATAATAGAAAGAATAATATTGTAATATATACTGTAGAGAGAAAACTACTTTTCTCAGTTTTCAGATATTTCAATAAAATACAAACTTTCTGTAGATACACTTAGTACCGTGTAGTGCAAAAATCATTGTTGTATTACTACTTTCTCATCTGACTTCCAAAGAAGAGTAAGTATTGTATTCGTTCGCTGAAAATCGGCGATTTTTCGACCGCGAAACTCCACTGCCGAGTTCTGGTAACGAAGGGGATAAATCGTGTTCCTGTAAGTAGTAAATCATATCTGAACATTGTGTAGTCTGAATTGATGTTTTGGAGGTCCTGATACCGAAAACGTAACGGCAAAGTGTCTGTCTGTCCTCCATGGTCAACGCTAGCGTATACTTCGTTGAGACATTTTCTCGAAAATTCATATTCCCTGATCGATATAAGCGACCTAGAGGCCTGCGAGTTTGATACGGATATTTTGATTATTCAAATCCAATACTTTTCTTCCATATACTATTGTATAAAGAGAAAATGTAAAAATATTGGTGTCCAAAATGAACCCCATGAGTACTGTAAAGCTGAAATTGTGCGTCAGTGTCCGAGGGTTAGGTAGTTTAATTTTCAAGTGAGTTCGCTTTTACTTAAGGGGTGATGCGTTGGCTAGACCTACCATGGTTAAGAAAAATGTTACTATCATTTCGTTAACTCACGCCATTACTATTGCATACGGGATATTTGCTAGTGAATACTTCAGCACAGCGTGTCCAGAAATTCCCGAATCGCTATTGCAATTCACCGCATGCGCTTTAGTTTAACCAACTGATGTCACTGCAGTGCCTTTGACTGCGAGGTCCTAGATTCCAGTCCCAACTCAGTCACGATTTTTGACACTAGCTAGAATAGCTGGGTCCAAGACAGTCGCTGACTGGAGAATTCTAGCGGCCGGCTGCTCGAGTTTTCTGTGATTTCTGATCAATACCAGGCGAATGCTGGAGCATTCGACCCTAACAAACGCATTGGCTAAAGACTTCAGAACTTGACGCACCCGGAATCATCAATCATTCAACCGTAGTTTAACCTGTTTAACATCCCTATCCTCTTTGCACACATGCTTGCCATTGCGGGTGCTGACCTACCCTCGCTCAGCAAAGATATTTCTTTGTCGGAGAGGTCGAGCGCAAGCAATAATTCAAGCTCTGAGAGCAGAGTGAGCTGGTCGTCCCAGCGTTTGCCCCCGTCGACCTTCCGCGCCTCCACGACAGCGTGACTTTTCAGCAGGCGGAGGAGGAAGGTCGCAAGCGAGATGTAGGCAGAGTTAAACTCCATGAGAATCCGCTTGGCGCCATTCAGGTGCTGATAGAGTACGTCAATACTGACCCCATGGGCAATAGACCATGTCAATGCCGGACACGCACTAAAATGGAAATCAATTCACCGCGCAGGGCTTATAAAACCGCCCCTTATTCGCACAAAAACTTATACAAATATTAGAACCGATTTTGAGTAAGAAAAAAACCGCTTGAAACAAGTTCGTAATCAGATCTGCAGTCAAAAATAATCTTCATGTGATTGAAGAATAAAATTCAAACTATTTATACGCATTGGTAAAATAAAACAAACCTGAAAACACTATACGACAAATTAGCTTTAATCTCGATGTTTCGTACTCTTTAAACGGTTGAGCTATTTAGGATTTTGTTTAAATGACGACTGCAAAATCGCATTTTACTAGCACATCTGTCAATTGCTCAGAGATATTTGCACAACTATAGAATGAAACTGACATTAAAAAAATATGAAGCTACAACTATGTAAACTATAAAAGAATAATTTTCTCGAATGCATACAAAAGTGGTGGTTATATTTAAACACTCACAAACGATTGTCTTTGGTCAGAATAGCACTTGTGATTCCAAAGCTTGTTGTTAAATCATATTCCAGACCTGTGTTTTAAGCCGTGGGAAACATCCGCTAAGAATGTCTCTTGCAGGGTTTCCCTCCTTGAGTCCCATGGTTAAGAAATGGTCTACTCCCACGTAATCATTGATGGGCTCGTCAGGGACCTCAGCGATGGAGTCGACCTTAGGAAAATCGAAAATCTTCCGGTACGCGCACCAGGCGTTCCAGCGCTGGTACGTACCGTTAGCATTGATCGACATCGCGTGCGCCGTCGCCTCGACCTGGTAGACCGTTCTGGAACACAAGGAAGAGCAACAACCCGCATGTGAATGATCTTGGATGTCTGTGTGACGCCGCGTCGAAGGCAGTGTTGCCTACGTTTCGACCACCTGCTGGTCAGTTGGAAGACCTGCCCTGAGGAAGGCCACGATAAGATGGTCCAAATGCCTGCAACACAGCCCGGACAGCCAAGATCATTTACATGACTCCGGCCGCGGAAGCCTACGACTTTAATCCACATGTCTCTCCACTCCAGTCAACAATTATTTGCGATTTCTTAAAAGAATTGGAATCGTGTCAACAATACGATCTTCAATTTTGGGTCGTAAAATCCGCGCTGAAGGTCTTTTGAGCTGTAACTGTGCATTACGTCAGTAGTAAGGTCAATTAGTTTGGATACATATATAACGATGCTGCTGTGAAGTATGTGAAAAATGGAATTGGAACAGCAAATATTGACATTTTTGAAATTTCACATTTCAGTACTAAAGCTTATTACTTCCTCGTTGCATGACTTCATTTGTGTGAAAAGCAATGACTCACTGGTTGTGAGAATAAAGTCGTAACGTCAGGTACGATAAATTTCGAATTTTCATAATAAAATATTGGCATTTTTTAGTCAAAATCGAAATTGGTTCGTTTTTATATTTTTCTCGGGGTCCTGGGTATCTAACAAAATCATTGAGATCTCCACTGGCTGTGAGCCATAGTCAATTTATGCACATGTTCTAAATAAGTACCAAGAGAGGTGGCTCAGCGCATCAAATGCTGTCACTGCAGTGCCTCTGACCGGGAGGTCCTACGATCGAGTCCTGACGGTGGCAGTATTTTCGATTTCGCATTGATTGATATGGTTTATAGCTATATCCAATTCAGTCGCTGACTGGAGGAGAATTCGAGCGGCCGGCTGCTCTGATCGGTATTTTCCGTGATTTCTCCGATCAATACCAGGCGAATATCGGAGCAGTACCCTAACAAACGGGCCGCGGACTGCGCGCGATCTTTCCTTCCTCTTCCATGTCCTATACTCACCCCTTATGTACACTCACGTATACTTGCGTGCACTACACTTCCAAACATGCCAGAGGACCAGTCGGGAACTGAGGATTGCTCCGGCTGAGGCGGCGTGCAGCTGCTGGGAGATATCTAGTCGGGGAAAACCCTGCTAGCCTGCAGGTAGTTTAGCGCCGTATCTCACCATCCAGAGAGGGACGATAAACGTCAACTCCCGGAGAAAACATGTACTCACTTACGGAACTAATTACCTTAGCGGTTGACGCCCCGGAATTACTTATCAATCAATTGAAATAAGTAATATAGGTAGATATGTGGTAAACGACTCGCGTTGAATGCAACAGCGTTGTGTAGCTGCCGGCGAAGGGCTCGAAGCCTTCAACCCCCTCACAAGTGAACTCCGGCCCCTTTTCGCCATCGGACCAGTGGAAATCGTGGTAGATGCCTTTTGGCACGTCGTTGAGCCACGGTCACACGTTATTGCATGTCAGAGGCCCTTTGGAGGTATCGTATAACCTGTGAGCAGAATTAGTTTCATTCGCCATGTTTGCAACCGTGGACGAAGTAGTAAGTGCTGAAATTGCATGATTTGTGTTTTCGTTGAGTCGTGTCGATGTTTATGCAGTTCGCATGCCCCTTCTGAACCAATGGATCAATTACCAACATTAACGAACTCCAAACCGTGCAAAATAGGTTCTTCAGACTAGCAACACAAGCTCCGAGGTTCATTTCGAACGTCGAACTTCATAATGAGTTAAATTTATCACGTATAAAATATATTACCCTCCTCTTTAATAATTTTTATTACAACCCAAAATACCCTGAATTATGCAGTCAACTACAACCTGGCCTCATTAAATGACGTACCAACAAGCCTTCTTGTACATTTTCTTTAGCAATTGTTAACAGGGGCTCTTGTAGTTTCCTACACATTGTATAGTGTAATTAAGTTTAGTATAACGTAAGCCGTCATAACATATGATAAAGTATTATGATACTGAACGATGTAATTATCCATCAATCATTAATACATTTGTTTTAAGCGTGGCGTCGTCCCGAGTGTATTACTCGGGTGGTCGCCCACAATGTTACCGAGCTCGTCACCCTTCGCCTCCGTGAATAACTTGATAATAAAGTGCAAGGATCTGGGCAACTCAATGAGCTGTTTTTGTTGGTTGCGTTCCCCGACGACCTTTCTCATTTCAGAAACGGAATCTATTCGCCGTCCTAGGACACGGACACTCCTAATTAATTAAAGACGAACACTCTTATCTCAGAGCATAAACGTATCACTTATGAGAGTGGCCTCAAGCTTCTTATGAGGAAAAAATAATATCTGTACACAATTACAATATTGAAAATAGATATTTTCTTTTGAATAAAATCTGTTCTTCAAAATTAGATTTTTAAATGAACTCGGACGTGCCTACCTCGATGGCCGAGGATGCTAAGAGTGTGTACCGGCTCAGCACTTCGGTCCGAAGGGTAGCGAGCTCGAGTCCCTCCTTCCGCATGATTGTTTGTCCCTTGTCTCTCAAGTATATTATCGCAGAAGGCTTTGTGAGTCTGCTGACCACAGACCGAGCAGCCCGCAAGTGTGTTGGTGTCTAGTGTATGGCCGAATATGCGTCCTGTCAGGACGTAAAGTGTAACAGATTGTCGGTTGGATAAAAGTTATGGGAAAAATGAGTCTTTGTTATAATTTCTTCAAATTTGAGTAGTTTTCACGTAATTTTTCGTAAAATATGGCAATTTTAAAAACACGATTTCTCAAAAAGGCTCCAAATTTTGTTCTTTAAACTTTGGTTTGAACTGTGGTAAATACACTGAGTACTCGTAATGTGGGATAATGCCATTCTGATGTATTCTTTTGATGTTTCAAAAACCATAAAAATGTACTTTTTTGAATAATCTCTCACGTCGTAAATATTACATTACTGGTATATTTTGCAATCGTTGCGTTTGTAAGTACAAGTGCTTTAAATTATAAATAATTACTTATTAATTTATTCAAAAACTCAAAAGTTTTCTGTGAAGATGCGCACAAAATCGCACACTTTCAGAAGCATTGAAATATTTTCTCAAAAACGGCTACACATTTTCTATGGAAATTTGCGCATAGGACCAATTCCACTCTCTTATAGAATTATTAAAATCATATTTCAATTCTATTTGGGGACCGAAAAATTGAGAAAAAGTATCTTAAAGTGCAGATAAGTAACAATTGGGATAAGGTGGGATAATACCGATAGACTAGCCCAGTGCAAGAGAATAGTAAACTAGGTTGAGAAAGTCTTGGCCGTTTTAAAGCACCACGTTCTAGTATAATATCGCATCCTTGAGGTATTACGCTTTAATGGAAACAATTAGAAATTGTAGTGAGCGATTAACAAAAACCACTTGGACAAAAATGGAAGAAAACTATCATTTAATTAAGGGTGTATTGTAAAATTATGTAATGTTGAATAAGTATTTTGAAAAATTAAAAATTGAGTTTCTGCGGTCAGGAGAACCAGATTTCCAAAGTGTTATTATTCCAAAGAAAATAATAAGTTCCAACAAAACGTCTAGATTTCTGAAGGAGACAGTGGTTTCGCGAATTATTGCATGTTCGTTATAGAACACAAAGTATTCCTGTCTTTACACCTTTAAAACACGTTTCGCGAAGTCATCTCTTGGAAATGAGTTTCTACAACCTCGTTCCCACTTCTCGAAACTCTTATGTCAACGCTCTTTCTCCATGGTCAAACACATCCTGGCCAGCGGAAGGCGTGGTGACGTCACAGGGAAAGGCCCTGCAAGGTTAACTCTCTTCGAGGAGTTGGATGCGGCCCGCGACGGTCCAGACAGCCGAGTGTGGACCTCTCTGCTGATTGAAGCTGTTAAACCCACGCGAGGGATTACATAGAGTGTAAATAATACACAACAGTAAATTACTCATAACTACGAATATCAGTTTTCTCCAAACTATCTATAAAAGAAGATTGTGCCTTTTGGTATTAAGAAATAGAGTACGTGTTAGTGTATAGTCGTGTAGTGTTTCAAGCTCACGGTTGTGAAATGTGTTTTATGTTATGGGTCCTTCCAAATACCTGCATGGGTAATATTTACATTCGTTGATGTGTCGGCCGCATTGTGTAATTTGTGTGTGTAGTGAATGCATTTGAAGGAAGAAATTAATACAGCGTTCTAGAGCTGGAGATTGAGGTGCGAGAAATTGCGAATTGTGGAACAGGGATTCCCGATATGCCGGTTGATTCTTTAGCAGACCTGTGACAAGATCACATAGAAGCGTAGTAATAGTCCTAAAGTAAATAAGTGTTTTTATTTGTGACAATACAATGATAACGACTTTTGTTTCTGGATCTAATTCAGAATTCAGAAATTTAGTTAAGAGTCGATAATTTGTTTCATGACAAACATATTGGTGTACCTTATAAACATATATTCAGAGAAAAGTAATTAAATAGTAACATAATCTTGTCACAAATAATCCCTTAAAAGTAAATATCACCGCTTCGCGTTTATTTTTGTTTAAAAGATATCAATATTAATAAAATCATTTACTGTTAATTTCTTTTTTCGAAATTGGAATTAAGAAATTAAATATCATGTACAGTAGTTATTTATCAAGATTTCACAATCATATTTTCTTGGATGTTAAAATTTGCCAATTGTTTTCGGAAACACACAGAAATAAAATGCGCAGTTGATCAATATTTGACAATGTGACTGTTATCGAAAGAATCCTTTTATGCAATATGCAACAGTAAGGCCTTATAGGTAAATAATTTCTTCTCAGAATTCGAGGAAACGTCGCTTAACATTATATTGACTTGATAATGCAACATGTTGCATTTTGCTTTTCAATATGTATGAGAAAGCTTTCTTCATTATCGCCACCTCTGCGATCATCACTGCGGCCGTTTCCATTTCCACGACTTTCTCCATCGAACCACTCACTCTCACACCCACCGTTCCCGAGAACGTTTCTCCTACCAACTTTACCTCCACCAACACCAACACCACCGCCACTACAATCACAACCTTCGATTACTCTGTATCCCTTACGGACAATACTACTATTCTTACCGGTGAACCTGGCAATACTTCAACAGCAACAAATGGCTCTATTAGCGCACGTAACATAACGGTGAACCCTACAATTGATGTCGTACCGTTTGATAGTGACGATGACCCCAAACTATACGATCCCGTTGAAGGACCGTTGAGTTGCTCTGCTCTTTGGCCCTACTTGAAGAAGACTGACACAACGGTGCGAAGATGCTCTTGGTTGAACGTCGCCAGCCTCCCAGAAGTTCGCTGCGAAGTGGTGGTTGGCTACAGGCCCGTGGCAGGGAGCTACGCTATCCTCTTCCATAGCACGTGAGTTCACCAACTCCCGTTCCGAGTAATCAATAAACTTGCAGACTCTGCAGTAATGGTGTATGGAGATGACGAGATATTTTGAATGGGTGGGTGAGTGAGCATGTTAGTATGAATGTGTGTGTAGGTAATACAATGAGTGGCGCTCGATAACATAATAATTGCATGTTACTAGCGTTTTAATTTTTTAAAATTAATTACAAGCCATTTTTCTTACTTTGACATCTTTCCGTGATAGACATTTCTTGGTCTTGTTTTTCACCACTATCAGGATCACATCGAGTAGCGAAAATATCTTCCCTTTTAGTTTTTGGCCTTGATACATAACTAACCATTTTGAAACAAACGTTTATCACAGCTTCTGATAATATTTAAAAATCGCCTACCAATATCATTCCGGAACCCAGAGAACATCAAAGAGGAAAGTATTACAGGGGACCCCAGAATAAGTTACAATAATTAAAGAAATGTAGTAATTAATTAATACTTTCTTGTTAAATTTTTCTGATAATTTCTGCTGAATTTGGTTTTGTGGCTAGCTGACCGTGAATTTTTTTGAAAATGGTTGGCGTAATTAATTTCAAATTATGATAATTAGTGAGTAATTAATTAGCATTAAACGATGGGATGTAGTTTTTGTGGTCCGCTATGGGCGGCTTGCGAGCTTCAGAGATACATTCCCCGGCCAAAAGTGCCGTTTTTTACAGAAAAAGTGATATTATGGCTCCCTGAAACAGTAAAAAAGAATTTTCTTACTGCAATATGCAGTAATATGAATTTCTATAATACGTAACATTGTCAGAACGCACATTTCGTAGTACCTTAATACCGAAAAAACGTTTGTTTTCAAAACGTCCGTCCGTCTTTGAACAACTCCAGCGCCTAAACTAGTTTTGAGATTTTTGCCGACATTATTATTCCACGATCAATCTGGAGCGACTTGAAGCCCTACAATCTTCGAAAGAATTCTTTAAATTTTGGGCATGCTTCACGAGAAATATCTGGGAAATTTTCTCAAGAATGGATTGAATTTTTTCTTTGAATTTCTTGTAAGAACAAACTGAAGTGAACTTATAAAGATAACTGTTATCACTGTTAACTTTGAATTTTCAAAAAATGCCAAGGGTTGATATTTTTAACCTTCTCGTACAACTTCAATATTGAAGAAAGATTTTTTCTTCAATGAGATTTGTTCATCACAATTACTTGTTAAATTAACACCATGTACATGTTTTGAAAATATTAGCAGTGCAATTTCGAGTGAAATGCCCGTGTGTGGCAGGGTGACAATCCATGCGCTGGAGACAGTGATCCGTTACTTAGAGGCGAGCAGAGGACTTTCGCTGTCATGTGTCTGTCTCTTTGTGTGCTGAGCTGTTTGTGAGTGCTGTGCCTTAGTTCCTCCGCGTGGAGCAGGGTGACTTATGTCGCACTGGAACGTTGAGGTGTGGTCCTTTTCTTCAGTCTGGTATTGTGCGATCTTTTAGCTTGTATCTGTGTGCTGAGCTATTAGTGAGATCTGTGCGTTAGTCCCTTGGTGTGTGGCAGAATGACGTTGTGCGTGTTGGAGCCTGGGCGGGTGGCCCTTACTTAGGAGGCGGGCTGGGTGCGCTCTGTCTCGTAGCTGCCTCTGAGTGTGCTGTGAGTGCGGTGGCTCGTGTGCTGCAGGGTGACGTTCCGCGCGATGGAGCGCGTGGGGCGTGGCCGAGGGCGCGGGGCGTGCGCGTGGGCGTCTCGCGTGGAGGCGCGCAAGGTGCGCTCGCTGTCGCGGGGCGGCGCCGCGGGGCTGCCGGTGGTAGAGGATGCGTCGCTGGTGGTGGCGGCGCGCGGCCGCGGGGGCCCCGGAGTGATGCTGCCGCTGGCGTCGCAGGGCTTCGAGGCCATCGCCCTCGACTTCGCGCCGCGGGCGTTTGGAGCCCGCGCGGCGCTCAGGCCTCCTGAAGCCAACTGCTCGTGAGTATAAATCCACCTTTTCCTTTTATTTGATTCTTGCAGTTTTTGTAAATTGCGTACTAATGACATAGGATTAAAGATAGAAATGTAGTAATTCTATGGCAAACAATTTTTTTTCTGGCAGAGAAAGTTATATTGTAGAACTCAGGTGGATAATTGTTGTGCTTATATGATGCTAATTACTTACCCTAACTTGTTGTATAATAGCAATCCATGTTTTGGTGGTCCTTGATTCGGAAAAATTGGTTGACGCAAAACGTGTTCCATTGTGCGTCCGTTCTTCTGTCAGACAATCTCTAAATAACACTACCGGCTAAATTGTAGACATGATTTTCACCAAAATTGACATTCGGGAGTTGATCTGGCTGCTGTCGCGACTTCTTATATTTGAGACAGATGTTTTGTCTGGAGGTGCTCTCTAGGGGACTCACACATATTTTCAAATTATTCTAAATAATATTAGAAAAGAAAATTGGGGTTCAAATTTTTCATTTCAAATTTTTTCAGATAGAGAAAATTGTAAAATTTAAAAGTTTTTTTGTCTTCTTAGAACTGCAATATTGAAGGTAGAATTTTTTAATGAAATCTGTTCTTCAGAATTATTTCTTAAACCAGGTCTCGTATATTTTAAAACATTGAGTAATTTCACGTAAAGTTGCGTGAAATAAATAAATAATCAAAAAGTAATCATAAGATTTTTGTGATCGTAAGTTTTTTATTAAAAAACTGACTCCAACATTTTTTTAAAAACTTTTCAATGGAAGGAGTTACATGCAGTGTATGTCATAAATGTTAATTTGAAATATTCTTTTAGATTTTCAAAAAATTCACAAATATATGTTCAAGTAGTTTTATAATATTACCTAATCGTTACAAATAGTGCGAGATAATACATAATGTTGCAGCACCTCTAGTTTCTATATTCTATATTATAGGAGAAACGTATTGCAGGAATCATCTCAATAATTCAAGTGGTGGTCTACAGCTAGTGAGTGAGTGTTCCAGACTTGAAGAGTCCTAAGGAAATATTAATCAGATCTACTGTAGAGTGACTGAATTACTTAATGTGAATTGATTTTTTATAAAAGCAGCAGTTCCTCAGGAAAACGAACGTTTTTTATTCGTCACAAAAAAACAAAAACAAACTCATTTCCTTCCTGCACAATAAGAAAGATTTCAGATCCTAGAACACACCATTTTGGAGTTGCGATCGAGTGTCAGGAAATAGGAGAACTACGCAAATCTAACTGTAAAATCTAGAAAACATCATAGAAGCTTGGCGTCCGAAATGAATATGCTCATGTTGCAGCAAGTGCCCTTTCGAAGTGTGGACGGTCGAATACCCTAACACCATCCCTGTGGTGCGCCTGCACTTAAACCGCGCTTGGAGGATCTTCCTGCAAATCCAGCCTGCCTTCATGGGGCTGGCGACGACCACGCTCAGGAACCTGGAGGCCGGGGCGTTGGTGGAGGAGATAGAGGTGCATGGAGGGGAAGGATGGAACCACTCCATTGTAATTTTTGTGACGTTGCCATATATGCGCAGCTTGGACTTCTCCGCCAACGGCATATCGTCACTAAGCGATGGTAAGAAAAATATATTCACGGAATATTTATTAACTTTTAATATGACGAATTCTATGAGATGTGCCTTTATCTCTTTTTGAAATGAACTTATTTTATGATTTATTTATTAATTATTATGTCATTTTGAAAATGAAATTATATTAATTTGTTTATATTCCGTTTAAACTTTCGTTAAAATTTTTAAATATTGCACTATTACAGAAAATTTCCAGCGCTTACCTAATCTCTTACATCTGAATCTGTCCTACAATAATTTTCTGACGATTCCAAAGGGAGTACAACTGTTGCATCGCCTGCAGACGCTGGACTTATCGCATAATCCAATCCTAACAAAATCATTCGCACCTACTCTGAGCACTCTATCGCAGCTGAAAGTGCTTAATTTGTCTGCTGTGGCTCTACAAAGTTTAGACATGTTGGCACCGAGTGAAGTAGAGGAAGATGCCCCTTCAGTAAGTATTTGCAACGCTACACAATATTTAGTAAGTCAGCTGACGGCTATATTCTAGTAATATTTAAATTGTACGACTCTTATGATATTTTCCTAAAGCCCTAAATATTTTGGTGCGCAAATGTTTTTACATGTTTACATCTTCCCAACATACAATGTAGATTAATGCAACTACGCCTTTGATCACTAAAATGTGAAAAATATGTATAAAGGTAACAACACAAATTATTGTGATTTCTTTATTTACCAAGTGTACATTGTTAAAAACATTTCATGTTTCGAAAACTATTGTATATTATATCATTTTAATTTTCTTCTTCCAACAATCACCCTCTTTACTATCTACTAATTTCATTTCTTTACCTTATTAAATTGATTTATGTCCTTTAACCAGCTACATTTTGGCAGTACTATTTTATTGTACTGCCTTTTCATTTTATCATAAAAACTTAGTCAATAAACTAGTGGCCTGCGTCAGTAAAAAGGCACGAGCAAATCTCCCCCATGGGTTTCCAAGAAGTAATACGCACATTATACGAGAACTAAAAATAAAATACTATAGTGTAACACTTGTGTAAATTAAAAAATCCATGTTCTCACGCATTCTTCAATAACATAGTACATAGCATTTCTTTACATATGTATCAAAAATAAAAACTTGTGCAATAAAAGGTAAACAAGTTGCTGTTGCAATACTTAGCACGTGAATAGCAAGTATTAATAAACGTGAGGCCTCTTCCTTGAAGCCTTGCTGTTGTATGACGTCAGCTGTGTCGAAAGGACATAAGCACTGAGTATGAATATTCAGTCGGGTCGCACAGAATGTGGATAGAATAATGCAATGAAATATTTGCATTTTTCAGGCAAGAGTGAAACTGCTTCATTGTTTTTTATTTTCCCCGGGTTTCTGGCCATCTAATGAAATCATAGTGTAATGGAACACGCTAGTTAACGCACGTTAGCCTTCAAATGTGATGAATTATGCTTCCGTTAGCACGAGTTGGGAAGAAGTTCAGGGGAGGTTTGCGTGGGTTTCGGACGCCAAACCTGGACTACTTTGGTGCCGGCTTTTATGAAACTCAAGAGTGAGAAGCCCTGAGTCGGTGATGATGCAAGGTTTAACTGATGTTAATTAATTACATATAACACGTTAATTTTCTTGTAAAGCAACTCTCAATGTGACGGATAATGATTTATTCAAATTAATTAATTTAGTGATAATATTCACATAACAACTGAACTGTACAGGTCGGGTTATCTCTGGCAGGAGTCTTCGGTCCGGTGAGTTTAACAGTCTAATAACAAACACGGTAAGTTATGACTGATCCAGTATTATTACTACGATGCTGCAAGAATTGCACGCTGACGGGTCTTGGCGCAGGAGCGTCAGATGGCGCCTCGGCGTTGTGTCGCCGGCTACGACGCCACGCCCGGTGTCCGTCGAAGTAGCTGCCTCGAGCCCCCAATTAATTGGCTACAACCGCTAAACTCATTTGGATGATCAGGATCGTCAGCAAGTCCCCGTTTATGGTTCGAAGTGGCTATTGCAAGTGCAGATGCCCTAGCTTAGGCAGAGAAAGGCCATCAAACGCCACTTTCTCGCAATTTGAAGTATTGCGTAATGCTGCCTAACTGTTCGGCAGTAGCTTCATATGATTTAATGTCAGTTATGGTTGCAACCAATGTCGTTAAACTTTCTAACCTAAGTCGTTGAATTGCAGGTTACGACGGAAAAGTTCCAAAATTTATATTGAAATATTCGTAAGTTCTCACCGAAGTGAACGTAGTACTTCGCCGTTCTCGCACAGCATCCGTGAAAAATCCCCACTCCTCTCTTGCGTGCGGGTCCCCTCATCATTTGATTGGTGTATTGTACTGCTATGTGCTAAATTCGGATATTGGAAACGTTCTGAGATATATTGAACAATTATTGGCTTGGAGCCTTCTTTCCTCGTTTGACCTGCTTTTAGAAGTACGCTATTGGTTAAAATATATTACTTTTCAGCTGTTTGGAAAAAGAGTCGTTGTTAGGGTATAAGATGCGTTAACTACAATGAGAAATTTATAATATGTTCTAAGAGCCTAGGGCATCTCATTTCGTTGCACTTGCGATAGTTCATTGTTCCAGCTACCCGCGACTAATGAGGGTTCGAGGCGCGGGCTCGCGGGACTGTGTCCACAATGAACATGCGTGAGTGCGACTTACATGGTTGCACACTGTGTAGTTTTCTTTCAATTTCTACGCTCTTTGGAAATTAGTAATATTGATACTAAAAAATAGAGCGCCACATAAAACTGTCGATACTATTGGGAAGGCAATTTATAATGCGTCACTACATTGAATTTGTTTGGAAGACAATATTGCTGGAGATATTTTCGACATTCCTGTCGCACTTTTGGCAGTATTCGTGCCTGGTGGTGCTTCACGTGAGCGGCTGCAACCTGAACTCCGTGGAGAGCAGCCTATGTGCTCAGTCTCCTGATGCTCGTTTCCAGTATTCGCACCTGGAGGTGCTGGACGTGAGCGGCTACAACCCTAGCTCCGTGGAGAGCGGCTTATGTGCTCAGAGTGTCGTGATGTTCGTTTCCAGTATCCGCACCTGGAGGTGCTGGACGTGACCGGGTGAAACCTGAGCTCCATGGAGAGCAGCATATGTGCTCAGTCTCCTGATGTTCGTTTCCAGTATTCGCACCTGGAGGTGCTGGACGTAAGCGCGTGCAACCTGAGCTCCGTGGAGAGCAGCCTATGTGCTCAGTCTCCTGATGTTCTTTTCCAGTATTCGCGCCTGGAGGTGCTGGACGTGAGCGGCTGCAACCTGAGCTCCGTGGAGAGCAGCCTATGTGCTCAGTCTGATGTTCTTGTTTCCAGTATTCGCGCCTGGAGGTGCTGGACGTGAGCGCGTGCAACCTGACCTCCGTGGAGAGCAGCTTGTGGGCGCGGGCGAGCAACCTGCGCACGCTGCGCCTGGCCGCCAATCCCGTGGCCTCCGTGCCGCCCTGGCTGGCGCAGCGGCTGCCGGCGCTGCAGGAGCTGGACCTGTCGGGCTGCCTGCTGGCCGCGGCGCCCGCGCTGCGCCTGGCGCCCGCCCAGCGCCTGCGCCGCCTGCTGCTGGCGCGCAACCTACTGGCGACGCCGCGGGGCGCGCTGGCGGCGGGTGACGGTGCTGGGGGCGGGGCGGCGTACCTGGATCTGAGCGGCAACCCGCTGCGCGGAGAGTGGGGCGCGGGGGCGTTCGTGCCGCTGGGCACGCGCGCAGCCGTCAACCTGTCGCGCGCGCACCTCACCGCCCTCTCGCCCCAGATGCTGCAAGCCTTGGAGCCGCTCGCGCAGGTCGACCTGGGCAAGAACCCCTTCGATTGCGGCAGCTGCTCTATCCTACACCTTCAACAGTGGCTCAGGAATGGGTCAAGTATGTATGAGTAAAATTACCTGCCGTGCCTCCTTTATTTGAGTTCCCATCATAACTTCAGAAAGTAATGTCTTAGTTTGGAAAGTATAATTCTAGAGAGTGTATAGCATTTGACTGGAGCTTGCGTTTTCCACAATTTTACTGGCCTTTATTAGTTTTCCTCTCGTATCGAGAGCGTACGCTCATGCGATTTGCGGACTGCCGAGGTCTCGGGCGATCCCCGCGTGCCGGCAAACTGTAGTCTCATTGTAGTAATATCGAAAGATAGTTTGCATGTCAAAAAAGAACTGCGGGATGGCATTTCAAATAAACTATCAGCAATTTTGAGGTTATGAAATTTAATTTATAAACAAGATATTAATTGTACGTAATGTTTATTATAAATCGTAACTTTTCACTTTATTTGGACACTGACATTCTGGAGAATCTGATGTTTATCAGGCATGTGAAGTTCTTAAAATAAAAGGGAACTTTATGTTTGTAGAAAGTTTTGACATACTTTTTTCATGTGTATTGACTTATCAAGGGAAGTTATGATAATGCCTTCTGTAACCTAATGTTTTACACGTGACAAATATGCTTGAAGTTTAGGTGCACAAATGCGGAATGTTCCGAATTGAATTTTTGTGCGACATTGAAAGTATTACAATAGAAATTAAACACATCATTTTAGCATAATTATGTTGCTCAAGCTAAAACTTTTAAGATGTTACTGCATTAATTGTCTCTGGCGAACATTTAAATTCGCCGCGCGCTACCGTGGCCAGCGCTCTCTCTTTTGGCACCGCCCGAGAAGCTCAAGTGCGGGGCATGCTCCCCTGACGAGGTGATGGAGCGAGTCTGGGCGAAACAGCGGCGCTGGCTGTTCAAGGGCAAACAGGTGCCACAGCTGTCAGAAGTGATATGGGAATTGTTCGTGGAAAAGTACGCGCCTGTTAAAGTTTTCATCGCCCATTTAAGCCAGAAAAGTTACGCACCACGACTCTTTTTACTGAAAATGGTGGTGACTACGCTTCGTTTCGGTCTCCTAGTTAACGGCCTTTCGGAACTGGACTTGATTTTTTCTCCTGGTGAACTGACGAGACTTGGGAAATTAATTTGTACGAATTCGTATAGTGGGAAATTGTAACAAATTGAACAATCAAATGTTATGTTTGTGTTTCTATTATTAGATACACTTCATTAACTCATTATCCCGGCATCCGTAAGTTCTTCATTAACACTTATTATCCCGACACCTGACAGTGTGGGTGGTGTGCGCAGGTCCGGAAGTGCTCTGGCTGGGCGAGCGGGAGCCCCTCAGATGCTTCCTGCCGCCGACACAGCGCGGTCGCCCGGTGGCCTCCGCTGAAGCGCCGTCTCCCCTCGAGTGCTTTCTGACGACGAGCGGCCAATGGCGAATAGCGGTGGGCGCCGTGGCGGCCGCAGCGCTTCTCTCCGCCGCCATCTTGGCGCTGCTCGCCTGCCGCTTCCGCCTGTACTTCATCTACGTGCTGCACGTGATGCGCGCCAACCGCGCTCTCGCGGAGCGGTCTCCAACTAGGCGCGCGCGTTGTGAATTCGACGCTTTCGTCTGTTACAGGTATAAACGCTGGGTAGCATATTGTTTTTACTGATTTATTATTTGATTGATCAGTGATTCCGAGCGCGTCAATTGCTAAGGTCATTAATTCCGTAAAGGTAGTGCATGTTATGCATCGCGGGAAGTGGGGATGAATTTCTTTCGCTAGAAGGCGAGCTCCACATCGGTGTGCGGGGACCCCAACCAGGCATCTCCTGTTAGTGGGGCATCGCCCCCAGCCCGGACAAGAACTAAACTGCCGACTAGTCCCCCGACGTGTGTGGCGGTGTAGTGCATGTAAGTGTAAGTGCGTGAAAGTAAAGCGGGAGGATAGAATAAGGAAGGGAACGGAAAGATCGCGCATGGTCCGTAGCCCGTTTGTTACGGTACAGTTGAGACATTTGCCTGTTATTAACTCGAGAAACAGAAAACTATCGATGAGAGAGCCTGACGGTAGAATTTTTCTCTAGAATTCCTCTCTAAGAATTCCCCTATCTAAGTAGCAGTTGATTTCCACCCAGTTATACAGCTAGTGTTGAAAATCCTGCCGCTGTAGGGACTCGAACCCTTGCATTTCCCTGTCAGAGGCTCTGCAGTGTGGGTAGCTGATATTGCTGTGACAACTGCGAGTTAGCAGTGTCGGGGGGAAGGGCCGAGGGTTTGAATCCTGGATGGGGCATGGATGTTCGCTAGTATGTTATACTGTGATAGGACTCCCAAACATCTGGCCAGCCTGGGCAGTGTAAGGCATTGGAACATGTGCTCTCAAGGGCGAGATCTGTCTGCGTTGTTGGTTCAAATCCTTTAATTATTTTCCCTTCCCCGTTTATTTGTGCAAGCGGCGATAAGTAGACCTGAGCGACGTATGGTACAAAGTTCGCGGCGTTAGCGCCAACAAGGTGACGCATGGCTCCCATCCTCTAATATAGGACTAAACATGATGGACTGACGAGCTAAGCCTTACTAATAGAGTATGTACTATTAGAATGTCCTATTATAGTTCAAGAGTCTCTTCGGGTCGATAAATGGGGAGCTACTACGACTTCCAGGATATGCGTTGTTCTTCCTGTACCTAACACACATTATTACCAACATATTACACGTGTAAAAATACGTGCTTCTAAAAAGTGATGACTTACGTTACATCTTGGCTTGAAAGATTGATACATATTATATTAAAACAGGGTATCAAGCTTCATGTAGTTACATCTGCAGGTTTTTGACGTGCACAGCAAGCACGATCGCGTCTGGGTGCTGAACGAGCTGCTGCCTCAACTGGAGGAGAGCCACCCGCCCTACCGCCTCTGCCTGCACGAGCGCGACTTCCCCCTGGGGGCGCTGGTGGTGCAGAACATCGTCGAGTGCATGGAGCGTAGCCGGCGCACGCTCATGGTGCTCACGCCCTCCTTCGTCCAAAGCCAGGTGATTCACGCATTCCTCTCAGTTGATGACGAAACTCTGTGCTAATGGTGACTGTATGCTGGAAATGGTTACGGAAATGGAGAGATCTGTGAATGTGTGTGCATTGGTGATAATGCGAACTGGAGATCACGAAGCACCGTTCGCTGAAAGATGCTATGTGTGTGTGTGTGTGTGCAATGGTGATAATGGGTTCTGGAGGAGGCGACGCAGCTCCTGCTTGAGGGAGCTGTGAGTGTGTGTGCGTGTGTGCAGTGGTGCCAGAGGGAGCTGGGTTGGCGACGCACCGCCTGCTGGAGGAAGCTGTGAGCGAGTGCTTGTGTGCACTGGTGCCAATGGAAACTGTGACTGTGTGTATGAAGTGGTGGCAGTGGGAGCTCGAGAGGGCGACGCACCGCCTGCTTGAGGTCACCGGGCGGGACCTCCTGATGCTGGTGTGTGCTGTGAGTGTTTGTGTGTGTGTGTGCATAGTGGTGCCAATGGGAGCTGGAGATGGCGGCGCACCGCCTGCTGGAGGGAGCTGTGAGTGTGTGTGTGTGTGTGTGTGTGTGTGTGTGTGTGTGTGTGCAGTGATGCCAATGGGAGCTGTGGGGGGCCGGGCGGGACTTCCTGGTGCTAGTGTGTGCTGTGAGTGTTTGTGTGTGTGTGCGCGCAGTGGTGCCAGTGGGAGCTGGAGATGGCGACGCACCGCCTGCTGGAGGGCGCCGGGCGGGACTTCCTGGTGCTGGTGGAACTGCAGCGGCTGGAGGCGCGCACCCTGCCTCGTCTGCTGCGCCTGTTGGTGGAGACGCGCACCTTCCTGCAGTGGCCGCCGGGAGGGGGCGGAGCGGAGGGGGCGTGGCGGCGGCTGCGGGCGGCGCTGGGTCCTCCGCTACTGCAATCGACACCTCCACCTCCATCTGCTCCTCTGGAAGAGAGAATAACTGCTGTACCTTGAGTCACTGAAGTGAACGGATTATTATCGTTGGCATTGTAAAACCGTGTTTATTTAACAAGATTTGGTCCGAGATCAGGCCTGTTCAAACCAGCTGCTCTTGGAAAAGGTGGCGAGCGGCTCGTACTAGAAATTGGCTCTCTTGATGTTGTGTGACTCCGCGAGTCAGCATGCAAATAATTTGAAATCGAATGCGAAATAATGTGAAATATTATGTTAATGAATATTATGATGGTGAAGGTTTAGAGATGTTAAAACCAATAGACACGTCACAGTACTTTCCGTCTTAGAGTTTCACACCTTTCATAAACTTCTTTAAAGACTCGGAAGTTAGTGCTGCTTATGTTTTTGTAAATAATGTAAACAATAATTGCATAAAACCTTCAACTGGGGAACTGTGTGAACTGTTCATTTCTCGATCTATTCTCCACAATTTAACGAAGCATTCTGACTCTTTATCAGTATCTAACATGATACCCTATTGCTAGATGGAGACAAATGACAATAATAACACGCTATGCTAGTCCGCATCCGCTACTGCTGCCTTCACAGCACGTGATATGAACCGAGATCAAGGACCGGTTGGGTGGGTCTGCCTTAGATGCACCTTAAGAATCTAAGAGACCGATGGACGTTTTTTTAAACTTTGACAACAACTTTAACTTTGAGTCACACGCGCTTGATGACCTGTTGGGTTCCAGAACCCAGAGTATTTAGAGGTATTTTAAGTGATACCAATAATTATTTTGGTGAAACAAATACATAAATCCATACTATTTGTAGAAAGTTTGTTTTTGTTAATTGAAAACAAAGAAACAAGTAAAAGTGCCAATTTTTATATTTTATTGACATTCTTGAATGTATTACAAAATACATCATTAAAAATCTTGCGCAACAACAATATATTTTTCAGGAATAGAATTTTCGCCTATTTCATCCATCGTCAATTTTTCGATTTTTTTCAAAATAAATTTCCGAATGATTTCCTTACAAGTCACAATTTTGCACATGCTGCACAGTACAGAACTAAGTACGTCTACAAACTTAGAAAAAGCAAGTGATTTTACTGGTTTGCATTTCGCAAAATAGTTCTCAAATTGGCCAACATGTGGCAACACCATACAGTCATATCAATGGAGACATTTCCTCAGTGCCCAGAACCGATGGATACTACGACACGCGCGAGAAAATACGAGGAAACGCGCTTCGAAGAACGTGGAGTAACGGAATTCCCCCGCTGTAGATTCTCCGAACTGCAACGACGTCTCCGAATCGCCGCTGAAATTCTCCGACCATGCGCCAAGGTAGACGAGAAATGTTTCACTCGCCCCAGTAACTTTTAGTTTTAGGCAGCAGCCAAGGCAAAACGTATACAAGGCGTTTTGGATGCTCTTTTCTGTTTTCCATGTGTTCTTATTGGTGGGGAAATACTGTGGTCAAAGATAGGTGTGAAAAATCTTGTGCACCTCTCCGGGAAAATTAAAAAAAAACATGAGAATTCGAAGTGATATTTAAATATTCAAGTGCATTTGACACTTCCTGAGACAGTAAACGTAGTGTCAACTTGTCGAATATTCAGAAGCACAATGAAAATGTCAGCAAAAATAGGTATGTTCTTTCGAAAATAGTCAATTTATCAAGTTTTGTGAAGCGTTTTAACTCGCAATACGTGACCATGAGATAGACGATTAGTCTAATCCTGGAATACTTCGAGGATTGATAGATTTCAGTGCTGATCTAGATCAAACTTTGAAAGAGCATTCACAGAGTTCTTCTCAATTTAAAAGAACCTCTAAAATAATTCAAAATAAACGCTTGGACAGTAGGCGGGCAGTGGCTCGCGAAGAAATTACACAGAAACTGGGACAGGCAAGTTTTGCTGCTTTAATCGCAGACGAAACTACAAACAGTTCTTCTAAATTTCAATTGGTAATAGTGTGTATCATCAGTGTAGTTTCAATAGTGTAGTTTCAATTGGTAATTATGTGAAGGATGGCATTCCTTTTGAAAGATTCCGGGGATTCGTTCTATCTTCTAAACACGACAGTGACAGTCTGGCACTAATTTTTTAATACAGACTGAACAACTCAGCTCAACCGAAAAATTGATTGCACAGTGTTTTGATGGGGCTACCGTGATGAGTGGACATGGAGCAAAGTAAAATTAAATCTATGTATCCGGAACCACATTTCTTACACTGCTATGCTCGTCGGTTAAATCTAATAATGCAACAATCTTGTTCTCAGAATAAACAGGTACGCGTGTTCTTCGCAATTCTTCAAAAAATATCTGCATTTTTTTTTCATTCGCTTCAAAGAAATGCAGTTCTGGGCAAAATGATTAAGAAGAGAGTTCCTCGTTCTGAACCGACACGATGGAATTTTGGAATTCGCATTGTAAACATGGTTTTCGAATTCATTGTTCAACTCATAGTATGTATGCAGGAGATTCAAGAATAATTTGCCCAAGTAAATGCAATAAATCAATCATCGGCAATAGAGCAATTGTTTGAAAATGACGTATTTGTTTTTTGGTTAACTTTGTTTCACCATATAATGCCTCATGTAAATATCCTACAACCAGTTACAGAAAAGGAAAATAGATCCAGTTTATGCCCAAGAAGCAGTAAAGCCACATGAAAGAAGTTCATGCATTGAGAGAGAATATAAATCAAGTAATTGAAATTTTCCACTAGTACCTCAGTTCATGAAACAAAGAGGAAGAGAATCGTTGAACCCGCGAATGTTTGTCGTACTGCTGCTATTGAAATATGTGACGTGATTACATGCAGTTTAAAGTTTCGTTTCTAATTTTCTGGACACTTAGTAGCTTCAAGCCTTTTAGTGCCAGATTATTTTGAAAAATTCGCGAAACAATTTCCTTCTAAAGAGTTAAATATTAGTCTAAAAAACTATCCTTCCCTAGAAAAAGAACGCTAGGAAACAGTTATCAGTCTGTACGAAAAAGAGAGGAATTTAAGAATTTTCAGGGAGACACCCTCTTCTTATTTTTTTGCTATTTTAAGGAAATTGTTAAGTTGCTAGAAATTCTGCTGACTACCCCCATGACAACAGCCGAGGCGGAGAGATGTTTTTCGACTTTGAAGAGAGTAAAAACTTTCCTATGCAGTGCCGTGTGTCAAGAAAGAGTCAATACTTTCGCTATGCTTTCTATCGAAAGAGACTTTGCATCTAAAATTTCTAACTTAAGTGACAGAATAATAGATAATTTTACCTGCCAGAAGAATCGTCGATTGAACTTCATTTATAAGAAATAAGGTAAGAAAATGTTTATTGTTATCTACTTCGAATATTCATGAATTCCGTTTGTTGCAAGAGAGCAGGATTACCAGACTTAAGTTGTTGGCCCATTGTCGCGTGAAACGTTTATTGACTTAAGACTCAATCAGTAGCTCGCAGTCTGCCGTCACGAGCCGCTGACATGGTCCACCGATTAACGAGTGTAGGGCACGCGTGAGATCAAGTGAACGTGTCGTAAAACTCCTCGGCGTAATTTTGTGGATGGATAAGAAAATATATTTCTTTTTAGAGGCGCTATTACGTGACAAGTTGATTTTATACTGACCAGGTCAGATAATAACAAAGTAAGTTGTTCGGACCGAATAAATATAATAGCAGAATAAATATGGTTTTATTTCATAAGACGCAAGGCAGAACAGTTGATTTGTAACCGGCACAACGTCAGACCGTTGCGTCGATAAGACCACGCCACCGGTAGCCGCCCTCGGCTTTCCCAGAAACACACGTGCGAGCCTCGCGTCCCTCTAGCCGTTGAAGCTCGGAACGGACGGATTCTTCCAGAACGTTCTATCGCCAAATTCAAATGGCTAATTGTGATAGGACACTGCCATCCTCTCCCCCTGAGCGCGCGAGCTTTCGCAATCTGACGAAGATCCCGTCGTTAAGCCGCCAATTCAGCTCCGAACCAAGCAGCGCGCAAGCCACTCGCGTGGTCCGTGTTGGCGGGCTCCGTGTGTAATTAACATACGTAAACGTTTTACTATCCAACCTCGGGCTGTTCCCAGTTGGTAGTGCAATTTTCAAGTGTACCGTATGTATAGTGTAGGTTATCTGCATCAGACCACTTGGAGATTCAGTTCTTGTACAAACTCGGGCTCTTCCCGGTTACACGCGTAAAGTAGCATCTATTTGTGCGAAGTAGGGATCCACCCATTTAGTGCGCTACAACGAATTCCACCTACGCTGTCTGTGAAATGTAAGTTATTTGCACTAGTCCACTCGCACCAGGAAATTTACTAGTACTGTACTCCAGCAATCATGTACTGTGATATCGTAACTGTGCCATGTAATCAAGTGCTTCAGTGAAGTGATTATTAAGTGCAGTGTAAGAATTTCATTTCTGTGAAACCAGAACTCCTACATAAATCCTCCTTGAGCTATTAAAGGATTTCAGGACTGCTGTGCTCCACCTCTACTTTTACAGTCAACTTCAAAACATCCAGATTTTCTTTGTAATTTTCGTTCTGACATAGAGCCAATGAACATAACGATATGCTTAGAAAAATTAAATTCAATTGAAGTACCGTAATATGAAGAGTCCAACTTCTAGTACAGCGCGGTACAGAACGACTGTGTTATTTACTCCCGAATCGCTACTGGTATGAATACATTTCACGCGCATTGGTATCAACTAATTTATAATGCTGCAGAGTAAATGCACTGTCATAACGAAGGGCCCTTATAATATATCAACAGGGGCGGTTCGTCAAATTCAGGAAAACACACTTGCAAGGGATGTACAAAAGAAGCGAATTTAGAAATTCAACATGAGCGGTACCATTATTTCAAGTAATACTGCAAAATGAAATGTCGAAGGAAATATTTCCAGACGTCTGCAAACGTCTTCGAATTCTTCTCACTACTCCAATGACTTCTTCAGAAGCTAAACGATCATTTTCAACAAAGAAGTGGATAAAAACATTTCGCGCGAGCGTTGTTTACGGGAGACTCATTGGTGCTACTCGATATTAAACAGTACGATTTTGGAACATTACAGGTTATGTGGCGCTGAAACGTTAAGGAAAGGGGAAAAGTTTAGGAGATATACTCAATTAATAGTCAGAGAATTTCTAATGGCGATTATTACACTCATTTCAATATGTTACGAGAAGACAGGAAGAATTTTTTTTACTATTTTTGAATGTCGGAAGAATTATTCAATGAGTTGCACTTCAAACTAAATTTAATTAGAATTTCAGCGTCAGTGGGAATTGGAGATGGCGACGCACCTCCTGCTGGATGGAGCTAACACGGACAGCCTCGTCTCCAATCTCTCTCTCTCTCTCTCTCTCTCTCTCTCTCTCTCTCTCTCTCACACACACACACACACACACACACTGTCATCACTACATCACATGTCGGGTGACCAGTAGGAAGCTGAGACTCTTTATCGACTGGGACGGTGTCCTTCTGGCGGTGATACCTGGAGGAGGAACCTTCGCAGTCGACGTGTAGGATGGCGCCGGACACGTTTGTCAGAGAATAACACTATTAACTCCTAGGATGTAACATGCACTTATGGGACTCATGATCATTGCAGTGGATACTCCACGCAACAATATCCATCAATCATATTCTTCCAGTAATGGGTATTTCCCTCTAGGTGGTCTGTAAAAATTTGGTGTTCTAGGAACGTCTCACGTGAAATGTGTACTCCGCGGTAAGTCAATTTCTAAAGTATATATCATTTTGCAATAAACTATTATTAAAATATCTTACTGAATCATTTGTCGGTTGGTATGTGAGTGTTCTGTCTTTAGCGGTGAAATGCACACACAAGAGCATGCCATCAAACCAGTGGCGTAGTTACAGGGGTCAAGGGAGGTGGAGGTCTGCCTCCTGGTGACACCATTTTTGGGGTGACACCAATTAGAAAATTTCATTTTTGGAATTATATAATTATTTATTTAAAATTATATATCAATTATTTTGAAACACGTACAGCTTTTAATACGTTATAAATAAATGTCATGTGAAATTTAATTTAATATTTATTAAATAACGTACACAAAATTCAGTTAAAAATGTTTTTATATTTAATTTATGAGGGGGATATCATTAGTTTTGCTCCGGGTGACACCGACTGAAGCTACGCCGCTGCAGCTAACACAGAAGCGTGTCTTAGAAGTAAATAAATAAATAAATTTTGGGTTGTCTCGTGCGGGTACTGTGGTTTGTGTTCCGTGCCAGGTTTTTTATTGGCGGTGCTATTTGCTTTCTTTCTGGTTGTTGATTGTGACTGCATCCCTCCCAAAAAATTGCTTTGAGTGCGAACAGTGCTTCACTGTTCTCTCAGACATATATATCTATCAAGTCAATACTTTTTCATTTCGATAATGATTCGAAGCAAATATTTACTTTAACGATGATGCATAAGTTGCGATATGATAATAAAAATAAATGTACGGAAGATTTGGATCCACGTGTCCTTTCATCGAATATGAAAAGATTCATCAAAATGAATTTCGGGCCCTATGCTACGATTTGTGTTATCCCTAATGAGGTGTGTGTGTGTGTGTGTGTGTGTGTGTGTGTGTGTGTGTGTGTGTAACGAGTCTTCGTGTTCCCTATCCATATTTTAATGAAATCAAGATCTATGATTTTGCTTGAAAATGACAGTCTGATTAAGATTTAATATTTTGAGAAGTAAATATCTTTAAATAAAGAAATCATTTTGTAAAAAAATATTAGTCTTTTCTGTCAATATTTGATGTCAGTAGATAGCGATAAAAATTAAAATGTTAGCATATTGTTCCAGTTTTTGTATTTTTAGAATACCTTTTGCTTCCGAAGATTTAATGAACATTTTGGGCCATTTGTTGCGACTCAGTTTGCTCATGTGATTTTTGATAACCCTGGTGCCAGAAGCAAACAGTTGATTTAGTGAGCTATGTATTATTTAGGTTTCGCTTTTACAAGTATTAGGTCCTGAAGAAATTCTTAATGGCTTGTACATATTAAGATGCTCGGGTTTAGCAAAACATGTAAATTACAACATATTTATTAACTATTAATCAGAATTTTAACCATTCGCGGTTTCCAAGATGTGACACTTGCCACCCAAAGGCAATTATTTTTTTATAGTACTGCTCTCACCAGCCCTTAAAGTCACAGTTCTGAATGCCTTTACCACGGTGCAGGCAAGACCAATTACAAAATGAACCTGAGGTATGATGTTCTTAGGTGCGGTATAAGAAATATTTCTATAAATCTCCTAGGATAAGCTCAAGAAATTTGGGCGACTCCAACAAGATAACTTGTTGTCTGGCTCAAGCGTCCCCAAGCGGTATCGACCTCATACTACCGGCTACGGCTATTTGCCACAAGAGGCGCTGGTGACCACTGAGCACAAAGAGTAGACTAGTAGTAGGTACTACTGTATAGTACTCTCTGACTGAGCACCTGCTAAACACCAGAGAGTAAAAGCAATATTAAGCGGTGCTAAGAATAAAATGCCGGGTTTGTGTCGTGTGATCAATTAAGTTTGTGTGTTGTGTACAATGACGTCCACATTGCTGAAATACTGATAGAAAAATAGTTGGCAACATTCGTAGACGTGTTTGAGTAAGAAAATAATGTTATCTTGTGAGCAAACGGATATGTGTTTTATTGAAAATGTACGGTTATAAAATTAGGTTAGGTGTGTTGTTACAGTGTCGGATTTTGTGTTGTCAGACCGATCATGGCCCAATCGAAGAACTTGAAGTGCAAGCATTTGCACGATTACTTAAAGACTCTTCCTACATCTGTTCTTGATAGATTATACAACCATCCAACCACTTGTTTGGCTGTGTACAGAGAGTTGCCGGAGATTGCCAGGCACTATGTTATACGAATCTTATTTGTTGAGCAACCTGTACCACAAGCAGTAGTAGCTTCTTGGGTGTCGCAGTCCTACTCAAAAGATCATACCACAGTAGTTGATGTACTTAGTGGTTTAAGGGTATGGCAGGAAGCAGCAATTCCTGGAGGACTTCTTGGCTGGATTCTGAACTCAACTTTCAAAAAGAATTTGAAGATTGCCCTTCTTGGTAGCGGAAAGCCCTGGAGTATGTCGTCACACTTGGAAGTGGACAGTAAACCTCGTGACATTCCTTATCTTGATACTTATGCTCTTGAACGATGGGAGTGTGTCTTGCATTATATGGTGGGCTCTCAACAGCAAGAAGGTATATCTGCTGATGCTGTCAGAATATTACTTCATGCAGGACTGATGAAAAGAGATGAGGAAGACGGTAGCCCTGTTATTACTCGAGAGGGATTTCAGTTTTTATTACTTGACACATCCTCTCAAGTGTGGTATTTTATTCTTCAATATTTGGATACAGTAGAAACTCGTGGACTAGATCTGGTTGAGTGCCTTACTTTTCTTTTCCAGTTGAGTTTCAGCACAATGGGTAAAGATTACAGTACAGAGGGTATGAGTGAACATTTACTTGTGTTTCTTCAACATCTTAGAGAATTTGGACTTGTATATCAACGGAAGAGAAAGGCAGGACGATTCTATCCCACAAGATTAGCTCTTAACATTGCATCTGGACACAACAAGTCTCACATGAACATGCACCGTGAAGGTTATATTGTTGTGGAAACAAACTACAGAGTGTACGCTTATACAGACTCCAATCTGCAAGTTGCATTAATGGGTCTTTTTTGTGAGATGTTATACAGGTTTCCTAATCTATCTGTGGGAATATTAACTCGTGACTCTGTTCGACAGGCTTTGAGAAGTGGAATAACAGCCGAGCAGATAGTAGGGTTCTTACATATGCATGCTCATCCACGTATGGTAATGGCTGGACCTCCAACCCTCCCTCCCACAATCATAGATCAAATTAAACTGTGGGAGAATGAGCGTAACAGGTTTGTGTTTTCAGAAGGCGTATTGTACAGTCAATTCTTATCTCAAGCTGATTTTGAAGCTTTACATGAGTTTGCCCAAGAATCTGGCCTGTTGGTTTGGAGTAATGCACAGCGGCGCACTATGGTAGTTACACGTGCTGGTCATGACGATGTGAAACGTTTTTGGAAACGTTATTCGAAAGGAGGTAATTAGGACTGAAAAGGGTTGCAGGATAATACACGGTATGCTGTTTGCCATGTTTTTGTTGGGAATCGATATTCCAGCCTGAAAAGTGTTCACAAATTTAAAGGAATCCAAGATAATAGTTTTCATTAACAAACAAATTTTATATGTGGTAAAACTGAAAATGTAAATATGTGTGCAGTAAGTGAAATCCATTAGAACTTCATAAGCTGAAAACATTTAAAATGTTAATCATCTTCCAAGGATTTTTTGTTATATTATTTCCTTAGAATCAAATCTGAATTATGTCACAATTTCTGTTCCTTTCTTTTGTTACCAAGTGTGTTCAATATAAATGACTGTTAAAGTTCCTTTTATTAAAAGATTCCTATATGTTTGTAAAATAATTGGTAATAAAAACAAAAATTTTATAAATGATCAGCATTCTGTATATCATGAATTCTACCTTTATTCTTTTGCAGAATTTGATTTGCTAGAAAATACAAAAATGTCAATCTTGCTTCTTCCTATTATTGACTTCTGATATTCACCTATGCACTGGCATAATTTGAGGGAGATCAAATGTTAATTCCATGATGCTGTTGGAATATTGGGTCAGTTTAGAAGGCAATTATGGCCATATTCCCCATCTTCCACCCTAAATTTTTTTTGGGTGTTCCTAAGGGGTCATTAATAAATTACGTAATGCTAAAGATGGGGAAGGGGGTTTGAGGAAACGTTATGCTGCATTATATGGGGGTAAGGGGTTTTGTTTAGTGTTACATAATGCTGATATTGTTTTTTTATTTATCATCATTTGCTGAAATAATTCCTTACATTCAGTGTTACACTAAAACTTTAAAATCATTACAAATTAAATTTAAAAAATGTAAATTGAAAAGTTATGTGTAAATGTTTCCAATAATTGAAAATATATTTTCATCTAAGGCATATTGATTGAATCTTAAGATTATAAAGAAAATATTCAAAACTGATCTATAATATAATCTAGAACACAATTAAATTGACACAGAAGATTCTCGCCTATGTGCACCTGTCAGAAATTTTCTCGCCAACACTTTCTTCAAGTAAAAATTGTCCCCCAGACTTATTGTTCGATGCAGTCAGCATTGCCAATGAATTCTGGCATTAATTATCAATAATTGAAATATATAACCAAATAAAAGTAATTGTAATTGTTTTATATTATTATTTGCTTATACACTTATTGCACTACTAACCATGCACTCATTTCTTTCTTCGAGACCCAGTTGTATTCTATCCTTGAGAGATCAACCTGTGGAGTTATGGGGATCAGCATCAGCCATTCTGCTGCATGCCTATGTTCAGCCTAGTTTGTTAGCCTTGAATATCAACTAGGGGGAGGGATATGATGATATTTCTATAATTATAGGGTGGTGATGGGTGAAGGGATTAGGCTGATGTTAGGTGGGGTAGTGGGAGGTGTTTGAGGGATTTTGGAACCGCCCCATCTTTGAGACTAAGGGAATCCACAAAAATCCTGATTCTATTATCTATTTTTTAAAATTAAAAAATGGTAACGCTCCTGAACAGTACAAAAAAAGGTGGCTGGTGCCACACCAGCAAATGACATCTTGCATACTTCAGGGGGCCAGAAGACTCTAACCAGAGGCATCGACAGTTGTAGTGATAGATGCATGCATAAAAGCACATGTTACTCTATCAATAAATGTACAAGGAGATACAAAAATTTTCTTAGAGTATATAAACCAACATCCTAAGCTCTAGTGGGATTTGAACGTTTATTGTGACCTAAAAGGTGTGTTGAAATGGTATATGAGAATTAAATTTATTTTCTGGGGACAGAAGAAGGTCAAACATTCCACTATGTAATTAAGAGCAGCTAAATCAGAAAAAATCACAAAGGGAGCGAGACCTGGACCTGAGTTCTGGATAATTCAAAACTTAATAATAATCTTACATGATGTCTTTGCAGGGGTTTTTGACCTTCCTGATGGTTTTAACCAGAAAATGGAATTGTAGAATAATTTTCACAAAAGGCCAGTTTCATGAAAAAACTTTATTAAAATATACATGTTGCAAAACATAACTTACAATGTATCTTAAAGTTCAAGTTTTTCAAGATATTAGACTGTATTTTCTCTGCAAAATACCCCCTCATTATAAAAAATGAATCAATATTTGAAACTATAAATGTTCAACAACAATTACTATTTAAAAGACATTTCATTTCTTTTTTCCACTATTTTTACACAAAACTGCATTGAATCGAGCTCCCAAAGCCAGAGAGGTAGATATTGCCAAACAAAAATAAAATCATTTCACAAGGCACTGGGATTTAATTTCAACACCAGTTTTGCAACCATTTTATGTGCTGTGTTTACGATATATTCTTGCTAAAACAAGGTCACTGTTTGGATCATGGGGCTTTAACGAGTTACAGTCATTTCTCTTTTTCTTCTTTTAGGCTCTTTGAACCTCGATTATGTCTGTAAATATAGTAATTAAGGCACGATGCCAGAGTAAGCCATGCCATATATGGTACAAACAATAGACCAGCACATTGGTTAATCTGATAGAAAGAATAACCACAGGCAGCAGTATTGATGTACAGGAGGCTTATGTTGACAAGGGACTGAAAACAAAATCAAACTATTTAAAAACAACATTACACTATACTACTATAAATGGACCTAGCTCTTTCCAAGTAGGTAAGTCATTTGTTCTCATGTGAGACAATGTATCAATCAAATGTTTTCAAATGCTAATAATACTGTTTTGGATCTCTCCTTTGAATTCATGAAATCTGAGATCAATCTTGGAATAACTAGGTCCTCTAAACTAAAATTATTTATATTGTTCTCTTGAAATATTCTTGAACCTTAATTGAATGAAAGTCAATCATGATGATTACATTTCATTAATTCGATAAGAGTAGTACTAATCTTAATAAATGTAATATTTACCAGTGGAATATTATGAGCACCAAAAAATATTGGACTCCAAGTCCAGTTCAGTGCTAACTGGGATGCATAAAGTGCAAGGGGTAACCGAGCATTCCCTGAAAGTCAAAAAAATTGTTATTATGAACACTGTTTGGTGAAGTTAAATTATTTTTAATATTGAACAAAATAATCATAATAATAGAAGACCTGTGAATAAAAAAAAAATTGTTCTTAAATCTATTTGTAAAAAGACTACCCCAAACCTTCAAAACCACCTCCATCTCTCCAAACCAAGTATGAGGCATAGCCCATGCCTGTGTATAGGGTAGTCCAAACAGGACCAAATGCCCAATTTGGGGGTCTCCAACTGGGCCTCTTCAATGTCTACAAAAAACAGATAACCTGGACTTCTGTTCACAAGCAAATTATTTCCATTAACACTTTTTAAACAAGTTAAGTTTTATTGATTCAGTCATAATATAATTTATTTTTGAAACTTGAAAATTATTTAGTGTACAATTTGGAAACATTAACATATAATTAAATAATTTTTATGAAGCATATTTTTTAAATTTGATAATCTGCATTTATTTTTAACAATTACTTAAGTTTGAAATTATTTCCGAGTTTTGAAAAATTCCCTTGATTTCACTTAAATGAAGGTGAGGACTAATATTTAAAAAAAGTTCTTGAAATTTGATAGAAAAAGTATTTTTTGAGAAAAAATTCTTTTCTTATATCTGAGATCCCTGGAGACATTAGAACTGAGGGGGGGGGTGCACTAAAAAACAGAATTAAATATTAGTCTGCTAGGGTAGCAACTAAAAGGGTTTAGTTCAAATAATTAGTATGAATAAACTAGTTACAAAAACTGGGTTCTGCTGTAGTATACTGAATGCATTATTCCAAAAAATATCTTTGTCCCATGTGATGTCAATTTTCATACAATATTGTTAATGTCCAGAAAAGTTGACGTGAGGGAGAGACACTCATACGGCATTTTCATAAAATCTGTACGGGATAACTAGCCATCAAAAATTGGAAAGTATCTCTCATACAGGCGTGGTGCACTCCCAAGAAGAGTGGATTATAAGATTTTTGAGTACACTCATACTCCCTGGTTCGAAATTTTGATATCATCCCTCAAGAACATTATCTTACCAAGGAAGAATTTAGACTAATTTCATTTCTTCCGTGATCTTACCTCGTACCACTTTAAATTCGGTCTGACTACCGCCGCTCCCAACCATCCCCCCACATTGGGAAGCACAGTGGCTCCCACAGCAGACCAAACTACTGGCATTTTGTCAAAAACTGTAAAAATATATAAGAAATTATTAAGAAAGTTATAGCGGAAAAAACTATTCATGATATGATTACGAATCCATAACCTATATTACGCCACACCTTCAAACACTTCCTTTTATGTTTGAGCCTACAAAAACTTTTATTGAGTTGCAAAAATTACTTACCTTGGTATAGCTTTAATTACGTTGAATCGTATAATAATTCGTCGCTGTTGAACCGGTCAAGATACGTGTATTGAGGTCAGTGATAGAAAACAGTAAGGTTAAGAACTACAGCCGGAAACCGCAGGACGACTGACCCTACCAGTGCTCAGCACGTTCGTTACCGCGCCGGCTAATAGCGCAAAGTCACTGTGTGTTTAACAACAAACGTCATAACACGACATGAATGTCATGCTCGTTCTGTGAACCACGCACACACGCGCAACTCGCAGCACACCGTTCGCACTGACGGACTGTGGAAGACAAGGTGCGGAAGTTTTAATGCATTGCATCATCTGTGGAAGAGAGTTGTTTAGGATTCAAAGGGCGGTCCAGCCGATCATTTGGTGGTGGTGGTGGTATGTGTCAAAATCCATATACATGGATGTATGTGTATATGGATATGTGGATATACATGTACAAGGATCATGGTATGTGGGGGTGTCATAGAGTTTTGTTAAATTATAAACATACTTTTTATTATATTGTATATAATTTTTTTTAGTTTATACATAATACTATAAAATATTATCTTTAAAATAATTGTATAATTCTAAAATACATATTTACATAAATTTTGCCAAATAAAGGAAGGTAACAAACGAAAACTTATTTCATTGGAGAACATAATGTAAGTGCTCGAAGGGAAAACAACATATTAAAACATCAGTGTAGAAATTAAATGACATTCTACACTGATTACCAGTTTATACGTAACTTATTGCGTACATTGAACTGTTAATTAACTTAGATTGTTACAGCGGGTCCGTGTTCTCTGGGGTTCTACTAGCGTTTGTTGTACATTTTTCAACTCGAATGTTTTATTTTCAAATCTTCACACTGAGTTCCTAGTGTTTTGCTTCGCAAATCTTTCAATAATGTTTTTCACATCCACGTGAATATTCTGAGGAACCTTCAAGAGAGCCAAGATTCATTTATGTACGTCCTCATCCAAGGTTTTGCTCGACGCAAAGTAGACAAACACATCTCAGCTGTAGCAACACTCGACGGGATCGTAGCCAGTCTGCATCTTGATCGGGATAAGAGAAAACTGATCTTTATCACACTGGATGAAAGTGTCCTTAGCAGTGTCCATAGAGGACTTCCTTTCTTTTCTTCCCTCTCCCATTTCTACAGCCATCCGTCTTATCTTTCTTCATATTAAAACATTCAGTTCCTTCTGGTACACGAAGAAAATCTTTCTATGGTTTTGCCAGTGATTACACATTATCTAAAATTTTCAATACTATTACTCCGAAATCTACGCAGAAATATGAAAGTCCAAATCACTGCAATGTTTCTTTAGACAAACGTTCTTTCAGGTCAAAAATTATATATTCTAGAAGGGGAATGTAAACAGAACGGAAATAATGTTTTACGTGATCTGCTGGTGGATAGCGTGACTGCCGTGCGTGGAGCAAAGATTGTTATCATTACCTCCTCTGCAATGGTATCTACTTTTGTAAAATGTTCTTTGAAATATTCCGATGTCTTTTCTCGATGAGATTTCAAAATTGCTAGAATATAATTCAAAACAATACGTTCTTCACTTAAATCAAGTGATTCAGATTCAAAAACAGGAGGCCTACTAAGTTATTGTGTTGAACCCAGAACATTACGCAATACTACAAGTAATACCACATGCTCGCTATTTTCAAGAGACACTTTAAGGTAAAAGGCATCTGACGACGTTTTCTAATCTACATATAACGTTATTTCATTAAGAATTTTTGTAACATGTGGTAATTTAATACGAAACTGTAGACTACCATCATGATTTTCCGAACATCTAGTTTCACAGAGACCAGCAAAAAACCATTCCAATAACTTTTTGAAATACTTGCGTTCTTTTGTCTGAGACTTTGTAAAATTGATTATTTTTTCTTTTTTTCCCACAGCACTTCTACAAGGTAGAACTCGGCACGTTTTGTCGAGACTGTTGTTCAAAGAATGGCGAAAGCAAGGACATCTTGTATTATCCATTTCAAGTGAAAGGTATGCCATAGCTCCTATCCCGATATTATTAGGATTACGGAAGTCATCACAGCACACTTATCCGTTCCAATGCCAACATATTTTGTATTACTGATGGAGAAAGAGTTCTGAATATCCTCAACCGCATGAGTAAGAGCTACACCAGTAAGTTCTTCTCCGTTGCCACTAACAATATCTTCCTGAGAAATCGATCCATAGGTATTCACAAAACAGAAAGTCTTCTCTGATTTGTTCATGAAATATGCAACGAACGAATAAGCTAACTTGTTCAATGCGTTCAGAGGTTTTATGAAAAAAATATTCTATACATGCCCGAATTAACCAATCTTTCGAGTCTGTTCAGTATGAGGTAATGTCTCACTAACTATGTACTACCATCAAAACTACTCAACAGTTCACGGTAGTTGTCGCAGAGATATCATTTGCGGTTGTGAAGAAATTCAATCATTTTCATTCAATTGTTTTTTAAATGGAAAACATAATTTTTTCACCACTTCTAATTGACTACCGCCACCCCCGCCCATCCTCCCAAATTGGAACCCCCAGCGGCTCCCGCCGCTACGGCTAGCCTACAATGATCTTTCATGTTTAAATGATTTGAAAGTTATGTAGAGTAAATATACTTCTGGCACGTGATTTGAAATTGCACGCAGTAGTTGGCACCGACAGAATTTCCTTTTAGAAGCGATTGCCTTCGGAGCAGCTGGCCTTCGTGGTGCTGAGACCTTTAGACTGTGAGGGGAGGCAAGAAAAAAGGGAGGCGATGAAATATTTACTGTCAATCTTTCTGCATCCTATTTAGTAGATCTATGTATCAACATATAGAATAGATAATAAAATTCAACATATTCTTAAAATAAAATAACGTTGATCTTAAAGAAAATTTACAAATATTCAACAAATTTAGTTTGCGGTCCTGTCCGCAAAGACCGTCGAACTGATTGCAGTATTTAGCTCTTTGTATCACTTGATGACTTCGTATCACGTGTCATGACTTTTGAAATCGTGGGCACTCTCTCAAACACATCATTTTCACTTTCTGCTATAACAGTCTTAAGACGTGGGATCTGGCGAATGTACCGGCCAATTTAACACTCCACTCCGCCCCTAATGTAACGCGCGGTTTGGACATTTTTGTTCAGAATACGTTTTGCCACAGCGGCAAAATATACAAGACACAGTCGTGATGAAAAGCGGCGAGGTGTCCACTTATCAACGAATGAGGCGATGACTAAGCACAATAATCAAAATATTGTATATTAAATATTTTAGACAAGAATTGGGTAAATATTCAAAACATAAACATATTTAAACAATATTGGTAACGAAAATAATGCGAAATAGTCATATAACGTATTTGTATTTAGCCATTATTGGTCTCGTATAGGGGAATTGACCTCGGCGCCGTTAAATTCCGGAGTTCCAAGTTGGTGACCCAACTCGGAACCCGCGATGTCTTGAATTCGCGTAACCTTCGTGACTGCACGTAGCTAACGTATTCGGCTAGTGGAGACGGCTTCGCGGTCGTGGACTTTCATTGGATCCATCCCATCATTCATTTGGATGACCGAGGGATTCCACGAAAACCCCGGTCGAGGTGGTCAGCTCGGGGATTGAACTCGGGTCTTCTGAATGCGAAGTCAGCGCGCTACGCTCTGTTTCTGAAATAATGCATGTTCCTATACGGATGTTTTGTGCTGAGTTTAATAGTGCAATCCATTTATTCTATCGCGCCAGATTTTCGAAAAAATTAAGAAATTATTTGTCATAAAAGTCACGTTTATATACCATTGTATGGGAGGTATCTAATAGTTAAGCATTATTACACCATTTTATATGTTGTATTATTTACACCAGTTTGTTCGTGCCAAAGACAGTGAGTGTTTTAAGTAGTGTTTATCACAGAATTACTCTATACAAGCTGAAAGCAGGCGTTTTTAGTGGACCTCAAATCAGGAAATTAATGTGTGATCCAAATTTTGAGAATGCAATAAGTCAAACAGAAAACTTCCATTGTTGGAAAAAACTTCCTAGGACACAGGAGTTCAGATTACAAAAAACCATTGTAAACATTTTTGTTCCCGTGGTACTTTAATGCATCTAAAGTTGATTTGGAATCAGTAAAAATTATGGCTCTGTTTAGTTCCAAATTGGGGATTAGATCTATGGCTTTATCTATAGTGAAGACTTCCCAGGAAAATATTGAAAGCGAATCTGACAATCTGAAGAGAAGTTATTAGTCTTCAAAGATGATGGCACAACCTTTTTTTTTCATCACTAATGCAACTGTAAATATGTGGGGAAGTTTATGTAATTATGCGATAATTCTCTGAATAAGCTTCTGCACACAGTATTAGGAGCGTTCTTTCCCATTCTTTTCATTCAGAATGTGTCCATAAATCATAGATTTGAGTTCCTCCCATGGTGGAACTGGGTGGATTTGACGTGGCATTGAGACATTCTCATTATGTGACAAATCGTTGTTGATAGTACTTATTCTGAATAGTAAAGGTTTTAGTAGGTTATTGAAGGGCTGTTGAAGATCAATTTATATTGATATTTGCTCATGGTGCGTAGGATTATTTTTAAGACAGGTGGTTGGTGAAGATATTTAAGGGTTAGAAGTTCTCTTCTTAACTTTAATAGTAATTCGTGACCTTATGCTAGAATTCTCAGTCTTAGTGTACTGCGGAAGAATCCAATTGCAAATCGTATTGAAGTTGTTTGTTTAAAATCTAATAAAGTTAAGATGGTTATACAACTTTCTGATAGTTATAGAACATATTATTGATATTCAATCTATTTTAATTTGGGGTTCTAATTCATTTCGTGAATTTTATGGACCATTATTGCTAAGCGAACTCATGCAAATTGTATTACGAACTGCTAATGGTTGATGCAGCTTCAATTATCTGATTGTTCATGATTTAGAAATAAGGCAAGATTTATTATGTGATTCTTAGCTGTAAGAAAGTAGATATATTACGTTGCAATAGTAGGAGTGCGGCGAGTGATTTACAAGAATTGATCGAAATAATGTTATTGATTATTTCGCGTTTACGGGCGCGTCAACAGCTCTGACGATTAACCTCGCAAGTGTAGTGCATGTTTCACCACGGGAGGAAGTACTTTTCCTTTTCGGTCGGTTGGCGAGACCCGGTGCCGACCTACCGTCGGTTTTGAGGGGTTTTCCTCAACCAGGTATCTCCCACCAGTGGGGCACCGCCCCAGTCAGGACCAGCTTTAAGCTCACGACTTACCTTCCGTCATGTGTAGAACAGTAGTGCATGTAATTGTGTGTGTGTAAATCGAGGGTGAGGCTAGGACAAGGAAGAGGAAAGAAATATCGCTCGCGGTCAGTGCCCAGTTTGTTAGGGTACAGCACCGGCATTGGCCTGGTTTTGATTGGAGAAAGCACGGAAAACTACCTTTCTTAGCAGCCAGACGCTTGAATTCTCCTCCAGACAGCGGCTATGGGAATGAGTGTAAAGTTCAATGAGGTTATGGTTTGTCGAGTCACGTAAGTGGTTTTTTTGACACACATTGATGCTAAACTGAATTGACAATCACAGACGTTGAATAACTAATGCTGGAGCCCAACTTGTGTCATCTCTATTATTTTTGTTATTTCGCTAACTGGATTATGACCGCATGAAATTAATGTATCAATGCATGTAAAATACATTTTAAAACTTATTTTTTAAGAAATATTATTTACATGCATATTTCTTTGATTAAAATTTAGTCAATTGTTATATATAACTATATATATATATCCACGTGTCAGCTTCCCTTAACTACATGCATTTTTGAGGCATACTCAGAGAGATGGGATATTTGGCAATGTTCAATTGTTAGAACCTGTCAAATAATCATCTACTGACCTAGCACACAAAACAATTTTTTTGACTTTAAGAAATGGTATGGATATTTTTTATTTGCACAGTTTCAATTGTTTTAACAAAAATATTATTTACATCACATTTAAATAAATACATTAAGTGTAATTACGATCAATATTTTATTACATAATAGGGAAATAAGTTATCTTAGAACATTTTAACTGTTGGAAATTGGAAAAATGACACTCTTTCATGTACATCATACAAACATTTTCACACAGTTATTTCAAAGCACTTTCTCTCATAGCACGCTGTGTTCCTAGAAATTAGAATGATTATCTTCACATAAGTATAAACATGTATGATTTCCTTCAAATTTTTGTTTGTCGCTAACAAATTAAACAATATACAATCAAATTATTTATATCACATTTTTTCGGAACAGAATTTAACTCTAAGACTAGATTGAATGTCATAAACTCTTACAGATAGCTTGGTTTTTATGCAAACTATTAAACAAAAGTGCAAACAAATGATTCTTTGCTATCTTATTTTCTCCCTGCATTTTTAAGCGGGAATAGCCTGTATTTGAATTATACAGTATTTCTTCGTGAAGGTATGAGCCCCCCAAATGTTGCTAAAATGCAAGAAAAAAACAACTAAATTTGGAAAATAATGGGATTAGGTGATTTTGCTTACAAATATCTTTAAAATGTCATCTGCGAGTTCAGAAACTTTGTTTTTTTCTGAAAACCATTTGAAGTCAATTTAAAGCAACCTTTTATTTTGCACAGTTCATCCCATGGAGAAAACGATTTGTTTCAAAACATCAGGAATGGCATTCACACTAGCCTTCAACCTCGATGATTTTTCGACTTAATTTTCCTGTACAAATATACCATTACTAACGACTAGTCCAAATCGACCAGTCGCATGATGTTCTCAGATGAAAGTTTTCAAAGAATTTAACAATTGTATGTGCACCATGCTTTTCATCCAGCAGCGATCTTCGAATTTCCGGTAAACAGTGATTATCATGAAGCCTCATGGACTTACTCATGGTCATCGTGTCTGCAGCCATGGCTGACCACGCATTGAAATGCGTTTTAGAAAAATTGATTCCAAGTTCCCAAAGGTGATCTAAAATAATGTATTTACTATTTAAATACTCACCTTCAGGCATTCATGAACTTAAGTTTTATTTGAGTATTGACTTTTCAGTTAATAACTGATCTTTATGGTTGTTGTCATATAACTGATCCCAGAGTCTACTATCAGTATCAGTACATTACAAATACCAAATTCAAATCAGTGTCATACAAAGGGTTATTAATGGAATAACTGTAATTTATTTTTATTCCCGTTCTCAACTACCTCAAAGCAAATGGTTATTAAATTTTGGTTTCCACTGGTGTTGGAATGGTCATTAAAACACCAGAATTTTTTTATATTGTCATAAGAACATTTGCACATTTTCTGCCTTCTTGTTTATTTATTATGGACATTCATGAAATGTTCATTATTTTCAGCCATCGTGTTCTTCCAAGTGAATGAACGGCATCATCCATTGTAGGCAGCAGCACTGGATGAGGAGCGAAATACCACGATGTTAGAAATTGACGATAGAGATCGCTTTCCACAGTGGACGAATTAGCACCTGGTTGCTAAGCACCTACTACGTCATCAGTCACAGAACTAAATTAATCATTTAAACAAAGCTTTTAGTGAACAGTAGTTTGGAAATTCAAACAGTTTAATAATCATAAAATAAATTAAGAATACTCGAAGGAATCAGTGCATTAGATAAATGTCTTCAATTTGTTATTGAATATTAAATTTTGAAAATAAACCAATACTCTGACTGAACACTTTTTAAGTGTCCCCAGTATAATGCTTCAAATGGTTCAGGCACAGTGCCAGGGAGAGGATTTGGGGGAAAAACTCCTTCCGAAGTGAGAGCAAATCCAGTCTAAATTACGCCATCAGTTCTTGGCTAGGTCGTTAGGAAGTTACATTATTGTTACGTAAACTAATTTTACTTTTTTAAGTTGAAAAAAGAAAATGAAGGTCTTTTACATCTCTTTGAGATAAAACGCAGTCATAAATTCTTCACTGGATTTTACGAAGCGGTATGTGTAAGGTCTCGGTTTGATCTTAATTGTTCTTCACTTGTCGAGATTCTTCCAAACAAAATGCTGTCTAAGGAAGTGCCCTACGGGGTCCGTAATGGCTGCACTTTTGGGCGATACGCAAATTGTACTTTCTTCTCGTATTGCATGCGCCAGAAGTTGAGACACCCTCGAAGAGTAGCCTGAGTAGACTGGTAAATAACATTCGTCCGTTCGCTCAACAACTCTAGCCCTATACTCTGATTTAAACAGAGTGGCTCTTCAAGGTCACGAGCTGGATGGAGGGGGACTGTCGTCCAGTTGGGAGTTCCAATACCAAACAATTAAGTCAAAACGAAGCTCTCGATTGAATGATAATGTCCTCCTCTCTCTCCAGCTCGTGATATTCAAGTGGCACTGTTTACATCGGAGTACAATACGGCGCTTAATCTATGCTTTCGCAACAGGTACGAGAGTGGCCGAGTCATCACAAGAGACACCAGCTCTCAGCGAATGGTCTGGCTGTGCACAGCTGAGGGTACGAACGTGCCGAAGACTTCGTGGATGTTGATGTATTGCTTTAAAACAAAGAGAGATCAACCTAATCTTTATATTGGAAAATCTCGCATCCTTGCGGTCTACTTGGTCTTTGAGGTCCCACGAGATGTCGCAATCCACTCAAAATATTTTGTGTTTCTCTCGATCTAGGCATCCCAATGTCTCATATCTGATTGGTTGACTCAAGGTCATAGATGGATCCCTCAGGGGTGTGACACTAACTGAAAACGATAAAGAATGCCTGCGAACTGTTAGATTTTCAAAAAACGCGCAATTTCGTTTCGTTGGATTCGCAGTCAGATGGCTTTGTTTGACGGCTACTCATGCGGTGGTGGCCTGCTCGCTATGTTGTCCGGCCATCGCCAGCGACCCTTCCTTGTCCACGTCGAATATCGAGACGTCTCTGGCAAGTCCGTACCCTTAGGACTGGGAGTAGCTATGCCCGGGTCTCTGAACGCCTGGCGCAGGCAATGCCGTGGTGCGGTGGAGGTTCAGAGCGCCAGCCAGTGGTTCCTCACGAGCGCCACTGCGAGCGCTAGCACGCAGCCGGTGAGCAGGGGGTGGGCCCGGTTCGAAGAGCTCGTCACCACTCCGCCCTTCGCCGACCTCTGCGCGCCGTCACTCTTCGCTCCGGCAGACGCGGCCTCGTCGTCGTCATCATCATCATCGTCGTCGTCGCCGTCGTCATCGGCAGCCTTCTTTTCATCTCCATCGTCATCATCATCGTCGTCGTCATCACTATCGTCGTCGTCATCTTTGTCATCCCCATCTGCAGTCTTGTTTTTATCGTCATCATCGTCATCATCATCGTCGTCGTCGTCCTTATGCTCGTCGTCGTCCGTGGGGTCATCTGGATCGTCGAAGGTATCGTCAAACCCTCGACCGACGAGCATAACAGCAGACTTGGGCGCCAGTGTTATATCGTTATCCTTGATGAGATCTCTGAAAGAAGATAGAGAGAATGCAATTAAGTGTAATTTGCAATTGCTTTATTAAACAGGGGTTCTTAAATTTAAACATCGTCAGCCCCTTATTACAGATAATGAGAAATGAATTCATTGTTTAAAGGCCAAGAAGAAAATAATGTTTCCTTGAACATTCGCACTGAAGATTCGTTATCTATAAATATAACATTTTATATACATAAATAATGTTTTGCACTGGGATGTTCGTATTTGTAAATTTGAGAACCAGAAACTTTGATTTTGTACTACAATATGCAGCAAATTTCCAAAAAGCAGTGTAACAGACTTCGAAAAGGGAAAACCGGAACGGCGTATCATCAGCGGATCACTGTTGTTGCCGGCGTAGTTCATCAAAGTGGTGGCAATTTATTTAGCCCGTTCGCTTGTCCCCATTGCAGTCCCTGGCCAGTGGTCACGATTACACAGCGTATTCCCCTGAGAATACGCAAACGCAAAATTAAGACAACTGCTACTAGTGGACGTACTGA